GTGGGTTTTCAAAAATTATTAATCTAAATTATTTACCACGGGTTTTTCACTATATCGTGGGACTCTGAAGTACTGTAGTGTATGTATGTTAAAATTACATAGGTTTATGAGTAGAAAATGGTTAAGAACATTAAAAGTGTTTTTTAAAGTGTAGGAAAGGTTTATAAAAGTGTAGGAAAGGTTTATAAGGCATTAAAATATATATAAATACTAAAATATTCGATCCCAGGTCCCGCATCTGCGCCGGCCCTGCCCCCAGGGTGCACTGAGCCCGCGACACAGTCTGAGTGGTGGCACACAGCTGTAATCCCAGCACTGGGGAGGAGGCTGAAAACGGGAGGATCACCACGAGTCTGATCTGTGTACTCTACCAATACACAAATGAAAAAATAAAATAAATACAACGTCACTACTTTGCTTACTTTCACTTATCATGAGAGTGCCTGGAACATGACCTCTGCAGTAAGTGAGGGACCACGGTATTCAGTAGGCTAGTTTGTTTTGTGTTTGTGCTGAGGGTTGAACCTAAGACTGCACATGCAAGGCAGGCGCTCGAACCCTGAGCCACACTCCAGCCCCAGACCGAGAGACGCAAGCACTGGGTCTTCTCTTACGTGAAAGCTAAATGACAAAAGTAACAAAAATGTCCTGAAAGTGGAAGGGGGCCTCCTGGGGCCTGGAAAGGAGGTGGGAGACAGTGGAAAGAGGAACTGGGGGAGCATAGGAGAATGAGGGGAAGACGGGACCAGAGCGGGGTATGCGCGTGCAGAAGCGCAGCAGTGAGACCCGCGCGTGCGGAGAATGCGTGTGTGTTAAGACTTATCATAAAGCACACGGAGTGTTGGAGGATATCCTGGACTAGGTAGACATTTTTCACTTTGATTTTTTTTCCCAGCAGGGCCTGGAAAAGCAGGCGTGTAAACAAACAGACATATAAGTGACAAAAATAAAACAAAATTGCTGCCTTAACTTCTGCTTGGGTTTCCAGCACGCATGGTGGCCTGCCCAACAGATTTGAAAATTACCAGCCCCCCACATGCATGTGAGTTAATTTTTTAAAACAAATCTCTACATGTATGTGCAAGTATGCACGCAACTTGTTTCTCAGGAAAACCAATAGGTGCAGCATCTTCTCGGTTCTGACAGGAGGCCAGGTCATCACATGAGACCAGAGCATGAGAAACGAAGATGAGGGCCCTTATCCACGCCTGCGCAGACCTCTTCAATGTCTTGTTTGTCAACATATTAGGATGAATAACCAAAAGGATCAGTTGTGTCAAGTGTCTGTTATCTACCAGGCTCTATTCTAAGCATGTCATATACATTGATTCATTTAATCCTCATACTCACCCTCAAAATACACAATTACTGTCTTCATTTTTAAAAGATGAAGTCAAGATTTTAGTTTAGGCAGTCTAACCCTAAAGCCTGTCTTATGTATGTACGTATGTATGTATGTGTGTGTGTGTGTATTTGGAACACTATGCAGCCCGGACTCATAGCGATCCTCCTGTTTTCAGCCTCCCCAGTGCTGGGATTACAGGCGTGCACCACCATGCCGGGACTCAGTTGTGCCCTGGAGGTGGGGCCTGCACAGCATGCGAGACCAGGGCTCAAACCCTGCTCCCTGTGCTTGGGAAAGCAGGCGCTTAGTCTGCTGAGCTATTTCGCTGGCCCTAAAACCTGTCTTCTTACCTGCTCATGAAGATTATAATGCATCATGGTTGTTTTGGGGTTTTTTGTATGGGGGATCAAACTCATGGTCTGACACTTAACAAGCAAGCACTCATGCCACTGAGCTATCTCCTTGGCCCACATTCATGTTTTTTCTCTATGAATAGTTTCTGATCCCCTACTCATGGTGTCTCACCTTAGGCACTGGGGATAGAGCAGAGAAAAGAATTTCTGCTGGTATGGAGCTTACATTTCTAGTCAGGACAAATATCCAGTAGGCATATAAGTATGTGGTGTCTATACAAGTTGGTAATTGGTACTGTGGAAAAAATAATTTAGGGCAAAAAGCATAAAGCATCAAGAAGAGTGTTGCCATCGTCTATTGGATGGCTAGGGAAGACCCCACTAATGAGGTGGTGTTTGAGCAGGGACTTGGGATGAGGAAGTTAGCCTTCAGGACGCAAGGAGAAAAGGATGTTCACCGCTCCTGCTCCAGTAGTAGTGAAAGCCACTGGTTATCCCAGTGTCTACTTCCCCCTTTCTTTACTAATAAAACCTTGAATTTTACCTGGGCACATAATGTCTAAAACTAAATATTAGATTTGGTGGCATTAGTTACAGCGAGGTGTGGGCATGTGACTGAGCGGTGTGGGAAGTTTCCCGACTGTGCCCCTAACGCAAAGGGCATGGCTTCTCTTTTCTCCCATCTCACTAGGCAGGGTGGACCCCAGCAGAATTAGTGGTGAACCCTCGGGGAATTTGAAGCTAAGAACTGCTTTGGAGAAGGTAGGACAACCTGCCCACTGCAGGCAGCCCTGGGGTACTTGACCAGTTAGGTGAGAGAGGAAAAATAAACCTCTATCATGTTTAAGCTGCTTTGAGTCTTTTTATTACAGCATATCCTGGTAAGCAGAATCTTAGTCCCTGAGATACCCTGCCCCTGGTGTATATAATATACTCACCCCTTGGGACAAGGAGTGTGTACTTTTGTGATAATGTCACATTTTATGGCACAGTTTTGACTGTATATATTATCTGCGTGGGCCTGACTTAAGCCATTTAAGGCAGGAGTGTTCTGTGGCTGGCTGCAGAGGACATGAGAACAGTGTGAAGTGTGAGAAGGATTTGAGTGTGATTTCTGGCTTGAAGATTGAGGGACATGGGACAAGGACGGCAGGTAACAAATGGACAGAGTTGCTCACGGCAGATAACCGAGAAAGGACAAGAGGCCTCAGTCAATCCCAAAACTGCAGCAATCTGAGACCCACCAAGAAGACTGAGCTCAGAAGTGGATTTTTTTCCCCCTCTCAGTTGAGAAAATTCTCTCAGATGAGAATTCAACACACTTAATGCTGATTTCTGTAATCTGTATCGTACTCACCACAGAGAATCCAACCAAGTCACGCTGGACATCTGATCGATGGAACTGGTGATAATTTTACTCATGTTATTAGGCTGCTTAGTTTGTAAGAATGTGCTACACAGCCACAGAAATCTTGTATTTTAGTGAGGCCCCTCCCGGGGCCCAACCACAGGCACAGAAGCCCCACAGTCTGTTGTCTACCAGCTGGACAACCAGGAAAGCCAGTGTGCACTTCAGTTCCAGTCCAAAGCTGGGAGAATCAAAGGTTCCAGTATCCATGGGCAGAAGATGGATGCCTGCACTCAGAAAGATAACCAAGTCATCCCTGCCTTTCTATTCAGATGGCCAGATAATGAAAGGAGCAGCTTGCATACAGGGAAGAGCATAGTTAGGAGTCTAGTTTTGGACATTTTAAGTTTTAAAGTTTGAGCCCAGCCCATTGGTATACACTTGTAATCCTAGTGCTTGGGAGGCTGAGACAGGAGGCTGCTAGCAAGTCAGAGGCCAGTCTGGGCTACATAGTCTAAGGCCAGCCTCAACTATGTAGCAAGAGACTATCTAAAAAAAATAAAAGTTTGAGGGCTGGCAAGATAGCTCAGCAGACTAAAGCGCTTGCTTAGGCAAGCTCAGGGACCACAGTTCCATCCCTGGCACAACGTGCCACACCAGCCCCACCTGAGGGCAGGCTGAGCCATCCACAGTTGGGGTGCAGAGGTGCTTGCCTGTAATCCTAGCTCTGGGGAGGCTGAAAGCAGGAGGATCACTGAGCTGTGTAGAAAGACCCTGTAACAACCAAGTACATAAATAAAAGTTTGAGATTCTTTTAAGCTATCCAAGTGGTGAATAGCCAGTTTGATATAAAATCTGGATTTCCAAGTACACGCAGGGCTGTATTTCTTCTTTCTTCATTCTTTCTTTGAACATCAGTCAGCTGAATTTACTTTTTGAGACAGGGTCTGTCTTATGAAGCCCAGCCCTGCCTCTAATTTGCAGTGATCCTCCTGTCTCAGCCTCTAGAGTGCTGGGATTACAGATCAATGACACTCCACTCAGCTCAGCTGGATTTTTAAAAATCCACCATTGGATCTCTAGCCCCCATTTAGAGATGGAGCAGGTTGAAGAAGATTTTGTCTTATTGTATTAGGACTTCCTTTTGGGAGATGGGGTGGGGCCCAAGGCAGTGTTGCAGGGGGTAGGGGGGAGTGGAGTCCAGAGGGCAAACCTCTTTGGGATCTGGCACTAGCTTAGACAGTGAATGGATCCACAGTCAAGAATGGCCCTTTTAGGGGCAGGGAAGATGGCTCAGTAGGATAAGCGCTTGACTGGCAAACGCAAGGATCTGAGTTCAATCCCGGGAAGAATGGCCTTCCCAGACCCAGTCTGGAGATGCTGGCCTCTTCCGGCCCCGCCCAGTGCGACCATCCCCCCTCCGCTGCTGTCTCGACTCCACACCCAGGCTCGGGACCTCCAGGGCCTTAACGGTTCTAAACAGCTGGCAGCCCTGCAGCTACTGGCCTCCGCCTAGGATCTGCTCGCCTTGGCTCCCCTGGATCTGTGTTGTCCCTGCCCCCAGGAAGGCGGCCTCCTGCGGGCTACCACAGAGCGTCTTCCTCTTGTAGCCCACTCCTTTGCCCCTTCTCCAGGTTCCATCAAGTCCTGGCCGCCGGGTCATGGCTCCCACTCCATTGGTTTGCCCACCCCTGTCATGGGCTTCTCAGCCTGTGGGCCAAGACGTCAGGAGACTGGGGCTTTGCTGCCTCAACTGAAAGCTCATTCCTTCCCTTCCTTCCCCTCGGGTGCTCGCCAGCCTCCCCTCTGAAGCTTCCTTGCTGTGAGCAAGGTTCTCAGGGTGAGCCCCGGGTGGGCGATCACTTCCGGGCCGGCCTCTGTGTGGGGGTGGCTGTGACTGGGGGAGCCCGCCTGGGACCTGAGTCTGAGTGCACCCACTTCCTCAGCAGGCACTGCCCAATGAAGCGTCGTCGGCAGCGGCAGAGCTGGCTGTCTTCCCGTCCCTTGCCTGCCATACCCCTTGGGCCAGGTGAGGGAACTGGCAGGAGGGAAAGAACTCCTTCCGGCTCAGGGAGGGCTCCACCTGGGACATGCCGGCTTCTCAGTCCTTGGGGAAGTGCGTAGTGTAGGCTGAAGGAAAGGCACTGTGCCCACCTGCATCTGCAGCTCCATCCCCTTTCAGGCTGGGGGTCCTTTCTTCCAACCTCATGAACTCTGGCAAGAACCTGAGGGCCCTTTTCCTGTCTCTCTCCTGGTCTGGGCCATGCAGGTGAAACCCAGAAGCAGAGAGCCTGGAACTGGCAGTTGGCGCCTGAACTGTGGGCAAGATCTCTTCGACAGCAGTTGAATGTCCAGCTCCTCTCGGCCCTGGAAGAGAGGAGGGCAGGTTTGTCTCTTGATGCAGTATCATCAGAAAACCTCGAGTCGTGGCACTCTGTACGTAGCCTGGATAGCACAGGGCCTGGACCTTGGACCTGCCAGACGAGACAGAGGAAATTCCTGACCGCAGAGACTGACTCAGAGCAGCCCACGGTGCTGAAGCTTCTGATTGCTGAGCTCCAAGCCTTGTTCTCCGCTGTGCTGCAGGACCACAGCCCTGCAGCGTGGCGGTACCTGCATGCAGTGCTGGGTCTCCTGCCTCCATACCGTGAGTTGCTAGTTGGTCACCTTGATCTGCTGCCCTTCTTGGAGCAGCTGTACTGCTGGGCTCCCTGGGTCAAAGCCCAACTCCACCTGGACCTGCTCGGTGCCATGGCCCAGGCCTTTCCCCCAGACAGCTCTTTGTTCCACGGTGCCTCCCACGTTGACTGCCATGCCCAGAAGAAGCAACTCCACCGAGGGCCCCCATACCCAGCCTGCCCTTTTGTGCAGGCCCAGCGGGGTGGGCAGCAAGTAACACAGGAACTGGCCACATGGATGCGACCATTGACATTGGCTGAGCTACAGCACTGCCTGGGCATTGTTGGTGCTGAGGTGGCCCTAGAAGAGACCCAGTGGTTGGGTGGCCTCAGTCTCCTGCCCTTGGCACTGGCTACAGACATCCCTGTGCAGTATGAAGAGGAATCTGTTGGAAGCACAGAAACTGAGTGAGTTTCTGGGGCTCTGGGCAGAGGAGAAAAACGTCAGGTTAGGGTGTCTCTAGGGCCTCTTGATGTTTACAGCCACCTCACTGTTGATATTAAGGATTAGCCTGACCCCAAGGTGAGCTGGGATGAGGCTGCTCAATAAATCTGCTGTTAATCCCCATTAGGGAAATGCAGAGATTGAAGTCAAAAGTCACCACTCAGGAAATCAAAGCTCCAAAAACCTTCTTGACTTTGCAGCCTTCAGGTTTCCTTCTTAGATGGCCAGAAGCCTCTATTTCTCATTTACTCATAGTCATTGAGCTTCACCTCTGAGCTTATCATACGCTGGGTCTTAGGTGCTTGGTGTCTTGGGGCCTTAGAATAACTAAGGAGTGCTCGCCACTGTGGGTCTTCGTAAGCTCCAAGACAGAGTACTGTGGCAGCGCTAGGGTGGGATTTCAGCCTGCCCCATTGAAGACTGCTATCCCGCCTTCCCAGTGTGGGCTTTGTTACCCCTGGAGTAAGGATTCCACTGAAATTCTGGCTGTCTGTGCTCTTTAGGATTTCAGAATGCCTACAGAGACCTCCTCTTTTGAAAGTTCTTTAGTGTTACTCTTTGAAGTTCTCCCTGACCTCTAGATTGATTTTCTAGCTGTTTTCTAGTTGGTCTATGCAACATTGGCTGTACAGGGGAAAAGATTAGTTTCACCTTTAGTCAAGCTTGGCTTCCTTGGTTTTTCCTCAAGTCTCAAAGCTCTGATGGTGGGTGATAGACAGGCTCCTGGAAGATAGCCAACAAGTTATGCCTTCTGCAGTCCCAGCAACCTTCTCCTTTTTCAAAGAGCTGCCCTGTTCCCTGAGTATAAGTGTCCCCCACCAAAACATACACACACACACACACACACACACACACCTTAACTGAAACAGCAATCACATGAGATGTTGGGAAGGGGTCAAGTTCTCCTCCCTCTCTTTGAACCTGGCAGTAAACCTCTGCAGTCTAGCTAATAAAGCTTAGTTTACATGAAGTTTTCCTGGCCTGGCTTCCCAAGCATTCATTGAATAACACCTGCTGGATGCTGGGGATAATATGATAAGGCAGAGCCAAGCCTTTGCCATGCAGGCTTACAGTTAAGAAGATAGCTGTAGATACCTTAACACAAATAAAATCTAGTTACAAATTGTAGTAAGTATTGTAGTACAAAAGAATACCATGTCTCCTGGTTGCACTTCTGGGAAGGAAGGGAGATAGAGAAGGTGGGAAGGAGGAGAGGGAGAAGCAGAGGGAGAGAAACCAGACAGTAGGGGAGAGCATGTCCCTGTGCAGCTGTATTAGTTTAGCAAAATACCTTGAGATTAAGAGGCAACACTTAGTAATGTTCATTGCTACTAAGGCAAGTAAAAATCTGAAAATTACAGCATTTAGCAACAAAAGAAAGTTTGGTGCTGGCAGTTTCAGTGAAGTTCATGGGAGGAAACTAGATTATGAGTGGAAGATGAGATGGATCGCTCTCTTTTTTTTTTTTTTTTTTTTTTTTTTTTTATTGAGGAACTGGGGATTGAGCTCAGGCCCTTGGGCTTGCCAGGCTAGCGCTTATTCTACTGTGCTATCTAGCCACCCTGTATCTCTCATTTTGCTATTCCTTTATGAAGCTTGACTTGAAAGAATAGTAGGAAAGCAGGTTGAAATAATTTTGGTGTCTGGATAAGATTCTTTTTAAAAGTAGATGTTTATAACCCTTAAAACAGTCCTAGAGAAATACGTACCTAATAAATATTTGTAGGCTAAATTAGCAGTCTAAGGTAAGAAGAGAAAATTTAAAATATACCACGGAGAAGGGGTGAGGTTTCCAGAGCACAGAGCAGCTAGCCTCGCAGAGAACACTTTTATCTCTCAAACTGGCAGACACAGGTAAGTATGTGGCAAGGCAACTGAAGTGGAGTTAGTTCTTGGCCGACAACAGCAATTTATCCAGGCAAGAAAGAAAGCAAAGGAAGGTGCGATTAGGGCTTGGCAGGGCCAGGCATAGGGTTAAGGTACAGTTTAAAGGAACTTGAGAACTTGTACTAAAATATCAAAACAAAATGAGGGCTGGCCACATAGCTCAGTGGATTAAAGCACCTGCAAGCAAGTGCAGGGGCCTGGGGGTTTGATCCCCAGGCCTTCCATGTGGGCTCCACTGCTGGGGTGTGCTGAGATGGCGACTGAGACTAGGCATGGTGGCGCACACCTGTAATCTCAGCTCTTGGGAGGCTGTAAAGAGCCAGATCACTATGAGTCTGATCTAGTAGTGAGACCCTGAACACTCTATAGACCCTTCCCTAAAATACAAAAAAAAAAAAAAAGTCTATAATCAAGAGATTTATAGAGGAGCCAGTATCCTTGAGTCTATGAGCTTCTGAATCTACTATATCATATGAAGCTCTAACTGCTGAGGAAATGAATGATAGCATTTATCTTATTTAAGACTTTCTGATCCAATGTCATAGTCATACACTATATTGATGATTTGATCTCTAGAATAGGATTGGATTGTAACGTCTGGGGTGGCTTATTCCATTGATCAAAGTTTGAGTCAGCTAATGATATTAGTATACTTTAAGGCTAAGTTAAATCATTTCCAGGTTTTCATTGGTGTTTTTCTTTGTTTTCTCTTATGAGATCATCCCAACCAGAATTACTAATGAGTTCTTCATGATTAATTTTCTTGGCAATTTTGCTGACCAGTATTATGAAGAACAAGAAGATGAGACTAATGAGGGATAGAAGGGGATATGAGAAAATAAAAACATATCCCTTGTTCCTGGATAGGCAGAACCAGTTTAGCCAAAATGGCTATACTTTCAAAACTATTTACAGATTTAACACAATCCCAATCAAAATACCAATAGCATTTTTTCTTTTTTATTGCAGTAATGGGGACTGAACTCAGGACCCTGTGCTTTCCAGGCAAGCACTTATTCTACTGAGCTATCTCCCAAGCCCCAATAGCATTCTTTACAGATTTAGAGAACACAGTAGTGAAATTCGTAAGAACCAGAAAAGAACTAAAATATTAAAAACAATTCTGGGCAACAAGGTAGGAGGCCTGAACAATCCAGAAAAAATATTTTTTATCCAGGGTAAGAAGATGAGGAAGCTTCAGGGGACTGAGGGGTGCATCCCGAAATTGAGACTCAAAATGAAAAGACTTGGAAGCTAGAATTGTTTTTTCTTTTTCCTTTTTTTTTTTTTCTTTGCAGAACCAGGGATTAAACTCAGTCCCCTGAGTTCTACTGACCCATCTCCCAGCCCCAGAAGCTAGAGTTTAAATGATGATGATAGGAAAGGGAAAAAATGATGATGGAAGTAAGAGTAATTATTGTAGTGGGATGGAGCTCACGAAGGGCCAGGAACCGGAAGTAAAGATAGGAGGTCAGATGTAGAAGGTTAGGAAGGCTAACAGAGGACAGGCCAGTGAACTTATAGGACGAAGAGTTGAAAACAAATTCTTCCTATTCTCTATACATAGTATTGGGCAGTATGACTTCACAGTAATCAGTCAACCAGGATTATTCATTTGTCAGAAAGGGAGAAGTTGCTCGTGCCCCGTGTGAACATAGTTACTGGACAAGTGCCGTCTGCTCACTATGTCTCCACACATAGGTAGTGGGCAGGCCCTGACAGTATTTGTCTTCCCCTCAGACACCAGAGCTGGCTCCTCCTTCCATGGCCCACACTGGCAAGGCCCACCTCCAGGTCCCTGACCTCCTCCTCTGCCTTTTCTCTCCTGACCTTTTGCGTACAGGTCTCAGTTTGGCTATGAAGTTCCTGGGGAGAAGTCCTTCCAAGAGAGAAGTAGCAGCGCCTCATCTGAGACTTTCTTCACGGGTAGCGAGGTGTTGACCCTTATGGATAGAGAGAAGAACCTGAAGAAGATCCACTTCCTCTATCTCAATGTGGCTCCCAGTCGGTACTTCAGGTGCGAGCCTGCATCCGGGCCTCTTCTGTGCTTCCCACTCCTGATTTCTTTCCTCCAACACAGTCTGCCTCCTTCTCTTTCTCCCCATGCCCATTCTTCTCCTTGTACCCAGCCTCCTTCTCTCCACCACCTACCTCCTTTATCCAACCCTTCTCTGGTAGCTTTTGTCTTAGTCACTCCATTCTCAGCTTTTGCTCTTTCTGCTTTATTCTGTTGTAGAGTGAGGGAAACACTTGATCACAGCCTCTGCAGCAAATTTAACAATAATCTCCTCCATCTCCAGTGCAACAATCAATTGTTTAAATCTTTACAGCATCTGGGAAGCTTTGTTTTTTCTGAGGCGTCCTGTTCCTTAGACTGAATCAAAATCTGCTTTCTTTTAATGTGTACCTCCTGGCCCTAAGTTTATCCTGGGGCTACACAAACAGGACCCCTTCTTCCACGCCATTTGAGGCATGACTTTCTCTGCATGATATCCAAATTGTATTTTTTAAAACGTTTAAATTTAAAAATGTTTTATCTATTCATTTATCTTATGGTATAGGAATTCAACCCAGAGCCTACACATGGTAAGTGCTTTACCACTGAGCTGCATCCCCAGCTGATCTTTAAAACTTTTGTCACATAATAGTTATACATACATATGGGATACAGTGTGACGTATGTAGTGTATAATGATCAAATCAGAATATAGACATGTCTGTCACTTTAGGCACTTATTGTTTTGGAATAGAGAACATTTGGAATGTTTTGTATTAGCTATTTGGAAATATTCAATTAGCTTATTAAGTCTGTAGCATGGTGACAGAATGGGGGCCCACATCAGTGCCCCAGATATGACAGCCCTATCGTAAAGATCACCAGGTCTGTATGTTCAAGAACTGGCCCTTTCCGGAGGGCTGCACCTGCACCCTGCAGCGGCTGATGGCCGAGACCGGCTTCATTACCGACCGGCCAAGAGCAAGCCCGAGTTGGCACGGTGTATCTGCTGCTTCAAGGAGCTGGGAGGCTGGCGGCCAGCTGGCAACCCCACAGAGCAGCATAAAAAGCATTTGCGAAGCTGTGTTCCTTTCTGTCAAGAAACAGTTTGAAGAATGAACTCTCAGCGAATTTTTAAAACTGGACAAAGAGAAAGCTAAGAATGCAATTGCAAAGGAAACCAACACCAAGCAGAAAGAGTTTGAAGAAAGTCGGCTGCACCATCGAGCAGCTGCTGCCTTACAGTGAGCCCTTGCCCTGGTCACTGAGCCTGGACTGGCAGGTCGTGTCCAAGGCATGCTCCTCAGTGTCCCCAACCTTTCTGTCCCTTCAGCCAGGAGAATACCTGAATCTTGAAATTGAGTATTTAAGCTGATTTTTCATTTTTCTCTTGAAAGTAGTGCCAGTGGCTCTTTGGTCTGAGTGATTCATGCTACCAATCAGTGTCTACATCTTTTTCTTTGGTAACCTTTGCTGTTAAATCCTGGCATTTATAAGGGCTAGGGGCCGGGGAGATTGCTCAGTAGAATAAGTGCTTGCCTGGCAAGCGCGAGGACCTAAATTCAATCCCTGGTTCCATAAGATAAATGAATAAATAAATAAATAAAATAAGGGCCAGCCAGACATCTCAATGGACTAAAACACCTGCTTCGGCAGAGTGCAGCGGTTGGGGTTAGATCTTGGTGTGCTGTGATGGCCCCGCCCCCCGGGGTGTGCTGAGATGGCAATTGAGACTGGGTGTGGTGGTTTGCGCTGTAATCCTGGCGCTTGGGAGGCTGAAAACAGGAGCATCACCGTGAGTCTAATCTACATAGTGAAACACTGTACACCGTGTAGACCCTCTCCTAAATTAAAAAAAAAAAATCCTGGAACTTAGCAGGTGAGGGGTGGTGAGGGGTGGGTGAGAGAGAAGCCTCTCCCTCCGACTGCACCTGCTTGTGGGAAGGAGGGCCAGTGCCAGTACAAGGGGTTTCTGGTCCCTGTGTCTCCAGTGCTCTGAAAAGCAGTTGGTATGCATCGGGCTGTCAGTAATTCGCCTGCCTTTTTCATGTGTGCTTTCTGACAGAAGGCAATGGAATAAATTAACTTTTTTAAAAATTGCTGTTAAGCACAGTTTTCCCAGTGTGCTGCACAACATCAGGAGCTACTCGCCCTCTCCGCTGTACCTCTGTGCCAACTAATCATCCCCCTCCATCCTTCTTTCTCCCCACACCTCCCAGGCTCTGACAACCACTTTTGGGACATGTTTTCCACATTTTAGCATGTCTGAATTTGTGCTGCCTCTTACAAAGGGATGGAATATCACATTGGAAGCATTTTTTCATCTCGGCATTTCATAAAATAATGCCGTAGCTTAGAACTGATAGTGTCTTAAACTTCATGAGGTGTGAGACGTCTGCGTCTGAACAGGGAACTTCTTGGAACAGAGAGTACTGTTTTCTTCATCTGTCTTTGGCTTTGATTTCTTTTTAATAATAGTTGCTCCATCATTTTCTTTTTTTCAAATTTTTTAGGGAAGGGTCTGCAGGGTGTTCAGGGTCTCATTCCTAGGTCGGTCTCATAGTGATCCGCCTGTTTACAGCCTCCCAAGTGCTGGGATTACGGGCGCACATCACCACAAGGAGTGTGATGTATGCAATGTATAATGATAAAATCAGAATATAGACATGTCTGTCACTTTAGGCACTTATTGTTTTGGAATAGAGAATATTTGCGCCACCACACCCAGTCTCAATTGCCCTCTCAGTCTGCCCCAGGGGCGGGCTGGCATGGCAGGCCCTAGGATCGAAACCCCAACCCCTGCACCTGATTGTAGGCACTTTAATCCGCTGAACTATTTGGCCCACTCCATCATTTTCGTTTAAAAATCATTCCGCTCTTTTCCACCTTCCTATTTTCTTCTGCCTTCCTTTTTAATCTCCTCAAGCCTTCTCTCATCTCCTTGAAGTCTGCGCAGGCTCCTTCAGCTTCTACTAAGATGATGTTTTTGGGGTTTTTTTGTTTTTTTTTTCCTAAAGGCCCTACAGCCTGGTCGTGGTGCCACCCAAAAGGGTGAATGCTGAGCACTACATCTTCTCTCCCTTTGGGATCCTGCATGTTCACCCCGAGGAGGGCAGTGAGGCCATGACGCTGGGCGCCTGGCACCACCAGTCTGTTCTCTGGCAGCAGCTACAGCTCATCCCATTCTTTAAGCACTGCCTTGTACGCAAGGCCTGGACCAGGTAGGTGGCGACGGGGCCGGGACTCGGGGGAGATGGACGGCGGCAAGGGCGTATTGTCATTGCCCTCCGATCTGCAGCTGGAGAAAGACCACGAGGCAGCAGGGGCTGTGTCGGCTCCGGACCCGCCTAGGGGATCATCTGCTCTCGGCTGTGCCCCACTTTGGAGCTGGGCTTCTCCACATTAACAGGTAGGGTTTTAATACAACTCCAATGTTGTTAAAGACTGTTTTCATGAATGGTAGTATATCATTGTAGAGAAACTGCAAAGCAGAAAAGCACAACGAAAATTATCTACTCCTACCACCTTTAAATAACCACTGTGGGGCCAGGGAGATAGCTTAGTAGAATAAGCACTTGCCTAGCAAGCACAAGGTCCTGAGTTCAATCCCAGTACCACACACACACACACAAAAAAAACAAAAAAAAAAAAAAAAAAAACCACTGTGAACATTTCGTTGTGTACCCGTCTAGCTTTTCTTCCTATTACATATAGAAAATGTGATCATATGTTACATATTGTTACATAATTTGCTTTTTTCTCTGAATCATATTTTTTGAACTTATTACCATGTAATTAGATGTCCTTGTACATAATCTTATCTCTGATATTACACATTTATTAAGGATCGAGTCTGGAGCTTAGATCCAGTCTTCTCCTTGTTCTCCCCGCGCTATTATGTGTACTCCTTGGGGGAGGGGTGGAGAGGGGAAGGCTGCTACTTTCAGTGCTCCCTTCCCTTCCCTTCAGGATGCTTCTGCTGTTCCCAGGTGTATGATAGGAGTTCCAAACTCAAATCTTTGTGGGGCCTAACCAGGAGGTATGCAGTGGTCAGATGTAGGGAATGCAATGCTTAGATTTAAGACATTGGGATAAAGGGGGATTCCAATCTAGAGGTTATATCTAAATAGGATAATGACTTCCCAGCTACGACTAATTATTGCCATTTGGGAACATAGGTCCAATGTGATCAACCAAATTATTTTTTAAGATTTCTTGGAAGCCTACATTCTGGGGTAAAATTCTTAATTTTAACTCTTTGGCTCAGATTTTAATTAAAACAGTGTGCTGACTCTTAGTGGTATTCACTGGAAATCTTTTCGGTCTGAATTTGACCCTCTAGTATAAGTTTGCAGCCTCTGCTCTAGGCAGATTTTATTCTCCATTCTTATCTAGTCACTGTAGTGTAAGTAAATGCATAAGAGCTTGGGAGGGTGGACAGATCTGAATTTAGATTCTGAACATTAGCATCAACCTTACTCTTTGAGCTTCAGTTTCCTGACCTTAAAGCTGGGGTAAAGATTTCTGCTAGAAAAGTTGCAATGAAAATTAGATGTGATTATGGATATATAATACCAGTAGGCACTGCATAAATGACATCCATTATGATCATCAGACAGTTGTACTGTCTGCTTGTTGGTGGGGGTCTTTATAATATTTTTAAAGGTTTTTTTGGGGTGTGTGTGTGTGTGTGCAGGGCCTCACTATGCAGCTTGGACTCAGTGATCCTCCTGATTTCTGTCTCCCTAGTGCTGGGATTATAGGCATGCACCACCACGCCAGGATTCCATTGCCAGCTCAGCATGCCTGCAGGCGGGTCTGGTGCAGCATGCAGTGCCAGGGATTGAACCCTGGCCCCTGTGCTTACCTAAGCAAGAGCTTAGTCCACTGAGCTATATCGCTGGCCCTTATAATATTTTTGAAACGATGTTTAGTGATCTGGAGTTCTTTGAGGAGGAGGGGGATAGTGGAAAACGAGAGCTGGCTTCCTCAGAAATGTTGACCTCTAGAACAGTTACACTATCAGCACTTTAATCCTAAAACCCATTTGTCTCTATATGTTTAGGAACTTCAGGTTTTCTTATTCCAAGAAAAAAGCCTCTTCTTCTCCTCTTCTGTGTTGGACTGTTGATGCTACTTGGCACTTTCTCCTGGCAGAGAGGTCACTAGATGTGTTATGCTAGTCTCTGTATTTCATGGTTGTAACAAAGTACCTGAGAGATGTGAAAGGAAGAAAGATTGATTTTTGTCTTGTGGGTTTAGTCTGTGGTTGCTTTGGGTTGGTGGCAAGGCATGACATCATGGTGGGGAGTGCATGGTGGAACACAGCTGCCACGGTATGGTGGCAGGAAAGGAGGGGGGTATACCTTCAGCAGCACACCTCAGGTATCCTGCTCCCTCCATAATACATCCTATGATAGTTTCCACTGCTACACAATCATGTCAGGGCCCAAATGGTCCACTTGTCTCCCAGAGGCCCCACTTCTGAACACTGCTGCGTTGGGGACCAGGCCCTCAACACAGTAGCTTTCCCTGGACCTTAATACTCAAGGTAAGCATCAGTACAGACCTTCAGTCTTTTCCAAATAGTTCCCAGCCAGTAACTTTCTGGGTTTTAACTTTTCCAAAGAACACTCAAGAGTAAGCTGTCACTGTTGTTCTCTAGGAATATTACAGTCATTTCCTCGGTCAGGCGCAAATTGGGCTGGGAAGAGGTCAAAGATGTCCAAGGAGGGAGGACTGGGATGCCGGCTCTAACCAGTTCACTTCTTGATCCCAGGCTTCTTCAGGAGCTGCACTCTGTGTCCTGGCTGCCCCAGGAGGCGGATCGGTGCTATAAGCTACTAGATCTGAAGAAGGCTCTATTGAAGGAGAACAGGAAGGCTCTGCAGTTATTCCATCGCTGCTTGTACCTCTGCACATCTGTTCTGCAACTGGTAAGGAACTCCAGTTTACTGTGGATCTTCCTTCCGCCTGGGCTCCCCACAGTTGCATCCGCCTCTTAGTTAAGTTTCTCCTGGGATCCCCTGTGTGACCTGGTCCCTGAACCTGGATCGCACCTCTTGTGTTGCCCAGCAACAGCAGTCTCTGCACTGGGATAGATGGGTGATTAACAGATAAAGAGAGACTAGGACTTGAACTGTCCCTAAGGGTCAGCCCTGGCCTAGGAACAGAGAGAAGAAGGAAAATATCACTGTCTGTTTTGTTGGTTGTTTGTTCTAACATTAGGGAATTAGGGACATTAGCTACTTTAAGAAATGGAACCCTGATCTGTCATGCTACTGAGATTTTCCTTTAACCTTTGGTGGTTTACTATAGCTCACAGATGCATGCAATGGTGAAGTCCTTCCTGGTTGAGCCTATTTTGTTGTGTTTGTTTGTTTTGTATGTATTTGGTACTCTTACCACGTGGCTCAAGCTCTTAATGATCTTCCTGTTTTCAGCCTCCCCAGCCCTGGGATTACAGGCTTGTGCCACCATGCCTGGACTCAGTGGTCTGGTTGGCTCAGCATACCCAGAAGCAGACCAGCATGGCATGTGGTTCTGGGAATCAAACTCTGGTCCAAGCAGTTGCTTGTTCTGCTGAGCTATCTTGCTGGCCTGTTGAAGTATTAACCCCCATCCGGGGGTCTGGAAGATCCTATTGTACACTTCTGGTTTTTGTTTTTGTTTTTCTTTTTTGTGGTTCTGGGGAATCAAACCCAAGGCCTGGTGTATGCAAGGCAAGAGCTCTACCACTGTACCACATCCCCAGCCCTGCACCTCCCTCTTGCCTATTATTTATTGTAGCTCATTGTCAGGTGTTTAGTGTTAGTAGGCAAGACCTTTGGAAAGGCAATAGGGCCCACAGGTGGGGGCAAGTATAAAGGGGCTGGTTCAGTCTCCTTTTGCCATTTTGATCTTCCACCTTTCACAGTGTAAGAACGCAACTTTCCTCCTGCCTAGAGGATACAGCAAGAAAACTTTACCAGACCTCAGACTTCCCAGCTGCCAGAATTATAACAAAATAAGTTTCTGTTCTTCGCAAATCACCCAGGCTTAGGTGTTCTGTTAAAGCTGCACAAATGGGCTACAACAGCTGGCAAGAGAAGTAGGGGATAGTCTTGTGGGAGGCTTGTTGGTATTATATATGGTATTTAAAAATATCATTGTTAGCTGAGTGTAGTAGTACATACCGATAATTCTGGTACTTGTGGGGCTGAAGCAGGGGGATCACTACAACTTCGGTGCCAGTCTGGGTTACATAGTGAGTTCAAGGCCAGTCTGAACTACGTAGTGAAATTATTAAAAAAAAATTTTTTTTTCAAATGTTTAAAAACTAAATTTAACTTTTTAGCCTGGGGTAGTGCATGCCTGTAATTCTAGCACTTACAGAGGCTAAGGCAGGAAAGATCACAAATCAGATCCCATCCTGGATAGCTCAGTGACTTAGGAATCCTCTGTCTCAGAGTTTTAAAAATTCTAGGGAATATAGCTGAGAGTAAAAGGTCCTAGGTTCAATCCCTGTACCAAAATGATGACGATGATAGGAGAAAAAGAGATGAAAAGGAGAAGAGGGAGAGGAGGGACAGGAGGGAGAGGGCGATGGGGACGCTGTGGGTGAGCATGTGTGCATTCCCGTGTGGACAAGGAGCAGGGTGGGGGAGTAGACCCTGCTCTTGGGCCCCACCTGTTGTCCTTTTCCTTCAGCCCCACACCCATCTGGCGGTGGTGAGCATTTATCTTTGCATCCGGGGATTGAACTCAGGCCCTTGTGCTTGCCAGGGAAGCGCTTATTCTACTGAGCCATCTCCCCGGCCCTATGCAATTCTTTTCATTCATTTCCATAATTCCAAACATTTAGGCCTGGGGGTAGTGGGGACAGCAGGAAGGGAACATGGCAGGGACTAGTACCAGTAGAGTAGGAGGAAGACAGAAGCTGAAGAAGCCGGAATAACCTTGAGTTAAGGTGCAGAGCCTGGGAGGAAGTGACGTTTGTCCTTGATAATTGCTTGTGTGCCAGTGGGGGAAGTGAAGGCCTGAATGACTCTTTTTTGAGACAGGGTCTCACTATGCAGCTCAGGGTGGCCTTGAACTTAGTATGTAGCCTAGGCTGGCCTTGAACTCATAGTGATCCTCCTGCCTCAGCCTCCTCAGTGCTGGGATTACAGGCTGAATGACATAAAGAACCAGAGTTTCTGGGTATAGCTAATGTGGAATTAATTTTTTTTTTTTTGTATTTTAGGGAAGGGTCTACAGGGTGTTCAGGGTCTCACTACTAGACTGGACTGAGTGATCCACCTGTTTACAGCCTCCCAAGTGCTGGGATTACACCACGCCCAGTCTCAATCGCCATCTCAGTGCTCCCCGGGGGCGGGGCCAGCACAGCAGGCCTGGGGGCCCCTGTGCCTGCTTGCAGGCACTTTAATCCTCTAGGATATTTGGCCAGTCCTAATGTGGGATTAAATTCACTGGCCAGGGGACTGGAGAGATGGCTCAGTGGAATAAGCGCTTCCCTGGCAAGCGCAAGGGCCTGAGTTTAATCCCTGGTTGGGGGGCGGGGAGGAGGGGGGGATTCACTGGCCAGCTTCCCAGCTTAAATGAACTTCAAAAGTTGGAATTTAGTAACTGTTATTTCTGGAGGCTTAGAAGTTTTAACAGATAAATGCCTAGGTCTTACCTACCTGAATCTGAGTGAAAACAAAACCAAAGATCTCAGACAGTAAAAGCAATTTGAAAAGGCTTGGTTTGTTTAGATCACAAACCTAGAAGATTACCGAGAAAGTATTTTTGAAGTGCTGCGGCAAACCACATGTTTAGGTGAATGTGATAAAGTAGGTAACAAAGCACTAGACTCAGCTGAAGGGGAAGAGGAGAACGAGGGGGAGAGGGCTGGCGAAGCAGGCTCAGAGGTGAGAGGGGTGAGCCTCGGCCTCGCATACTTAACGCAAGAAGAAATTCAAGATGAAGGTGGTCATGGTGACTATGTTGAAGGAGAAGAGGAGGCGAAAGAAGGTCTTCAGGCAAGAAGATGGTTGGGGGCTGTGAGTGGAAGCAGTAGGGTGCGCTGTGAGGGTGTGCTGGAATGGGGAAGAGGGCACTTCATCACCTCTGGATGCGTGTCCCTGTGTGATGCGCCTTGCTTGGGGCTCAGCCGGGCCTCACAAAGCTGGGTTTGAGTGCATGCATAGCAGAAATACAACCACAGACACCAGTTCAGTTCTAGGCACAAGGAGCAGGAGCGCGGTGACGTAGAGGGTCCATCTGGTCCGGCATAGCTTCCTGGTGTCTTCCGTCTGTTCCTCCACAGGACAAGTCCCGAGACTTGGCAACTATCAGCAGCATTTGTAGGCTGAAAAATCTCCTGGACCTGAAAATACCTCAGAAGGCTCTTTATCCTAACCTCAATCAAAAGTCTATGCCCATGCTCAATTAGCTCAGCGGATTAAAGCACCTGCTTAGGCAGACTCAGGGGCTGAGGGTTCGATCCCAGGTGTGCTGTGCCCTGGATCCGGGCCTGCGGTGCTGGCCTCACCCCTGGGGCACGCTGAGACTGACTGAGATGTTGTGGTGGCACGTGCCTGTAATCCCAGCACTTGGGAAACTGAAAATGGGAGAATCACTACAAGTCTGATCTGTGTAGTGAGACCCTGTAGATCCTGTACTAAATACATAAAAACAACAACAACCAAAACCTCACATTTAGAAACAGTTACTACCAGAGCATACAGCAGCATTTTCCTACCAGCAGGCCACCACTCCCAGGCCTAGCGCTTGAAGTCCATTTCCTGTGACTGTTGCTAAACCTTACTCATCCAGTCCTTTTCTTGGTTTTTTCTGTGTATTTTGAAGTGCTTTATTTACATATGCAAAAATTTTCTACTTGAGTTCCACCTTAAGGGCTTTCAGTGGGCAGCCTGACCTATCAACATCAGTATAGCATTTGTGTCCTCTTAATATGCATCTTCCAGTCTGCATCTTCCCTGGTTATTTAGAAAAGTCGAGGGCTAATCTCTACTAAAAAGGAACCTGCCAGGTGCGCATCCAGGCTCCAGCCCTGAAGCACAGAGACCTTTGCTCACCGTCCCCGTCTCCAGGGAGCCTCTGTTCTCTGCACTGACAGGTTCACGAGGACACATACCACATGCAGCAGGGCCTGCAGGAGCGAGTGCAGAACTGCAACAGGATCCGGGCAGGCCAGGGCTCCATCTCCCTGCTGAAGGAGCAGCGGTGGCAGCTGGAGCAGAAGCTGAAGCAGGCAGAGACCTGGTTGCGGCAGTTGGGGAAGTTTGCCCGCCTGGTCAACTACATGATTTGTCAGAACGTGGTTACGATCCTGGAAGACCAAATAACCTCTTTTGTGGCCAACATCCTGCAAGTGAGATGTGGGAGGAGGTAGGAAGGCAGTCAGGCCAGATGCGGGTTCTGCAGACCGACCTCTAACCCTGCGCCCTCCGGACCCTCCTTTCACAGGCTCAGAGGCAAACACCCTTTCTTTCATCACATCTGGTCTGTGGTGACCGTTGCCAGCTCTCTCCTGTGCCCAGTATTGAAAATATGAGCCAGGTTCTGTCCGAAGGCCTACGTTCCATTAAGGCTTCTGCTCTGAAGGTTGGTATTCTGGATTTGCTGGGAACTCCCGGTTTCTGTCGCAGTGTACTCAGAAGCCCTCAACCTGCTTTAGATCTCTCACTGTTTCTCCATTTCTGCCCCCTCTCCATCTCCTGGCATAAAGCTGATACAGTCTGTTGACCTGAAGATCTCGAGGGATTCCCTGCGTCTGGAAGGTACCTAAGGATACCCTGGTGGGGGGTGGGAAAGCCGGGGGCGCATGCAGGTGGGAATGACGTGAGAAGTGGTCGGGGCCCCCAGCGTGGTTACAGTGGGGCCGCTGTACCCGGGCACTGCGCATGTGTGTTGCGTGGGAAGAGTCCGGAGTGTCTCTGCTCACCAGCTCATGTGCGGGTGGTAAGGGGTGTGAGCACACTGTCCTTCCCCCGATGTGGCCAGAACTCCACGAGGTTCTTCACCACTGTCATAGTTGCATTTTATTTACTATTAGAACAGGTTGTTAAGTTAATTTGTACATATTGAGAAGCTCTGCTCCCTCAACCTTTGCTGTATTTCATGCAGCTCTTTCTCCTTTCCCCATGCAGTACAGTAGTTTATTCGTATTATCGACCACTTGTTATCGATACCAGTGAGGAAACACGTTTTTATATTTTCTTTGTTTAGAGTACTAACACAGTCTCAAAATCATTAGGTGCATTCCTCTAAAATGTAGATGCTTTTTAATTTTCATTGAAAGGAGTCTGTGTTTGTTTGTTGGTTGGGTCAAATTTTTTTGAAAAATCAATTTAGGTTAATTGGTAGAGACCATTGATATTTGCCTTACCTAGTGCGGTGGAAGGGGCAAAGGCCCTGGAATCACAGACATTAGTTTGTGAATCTCCATAGGTGGAAGTAACAAAAATATCTGAGTTTGAAGATTAGAAGGGGGAATGTGTCGGGGCAGTCTCAGCACATGGTCGTACTTGCTGCAGATCAGATCTTACCACTGTTGCTAAGACCTAGATAAATCAGAGGATTCACAGCATTTTCCCATTACTTACTGTAATGCCTTTCTTTGAATTTTTTTTTTTTTTTTTTTTTTTTTTTGCGGAACCGGGGATTGAACTCAGGGCCTTGGGCTTCCCAGGGAAGCGCTTATTCCACTGAGCCATCTCCCCGGCCCCTAAAATTATCTTTGTATTTTGTATTGGTTTTTTTTTTTTTTTTTTTTTTTTTTTTTGCGGAACCGGGGATTGAACTCAGGGCCTTGGGCTTCCCAGGGAAGCGCTTATTCCACTGAGCCATCTCCCCGGCCCCTAAAATTATCTTTGTATTTTGTATTGGTTTTTTTTTTTTTTTCTTTATTTACCAGAACCGGGGGTTGAACTCAGGCCCTTGAGCTTGCCAGGGAAGCGTTTATTCTACTGAGCCATCTCCCCAGCCCCCTGAATTATTTTTTAAAATCTTGAATTTTTATTCTAAATTATAATGACAGTGAAAATGTGTTAGGCTTTCCTTCTACTTTGATTTTTTTTTTCTTGTATCTTGCTTTCAAATAGTTGAGAAATAAGAGAGAAAAAAAAAGCGCAACAGTGTGACAAAATGTTAATTGTTGAATCTAAGTGGGCAGAGAAGAGAGTTCATAGTACCGTTGGAACCTGGAACCGGGGATTGAACTCAGGCCCTTGCACTTGCCAGGGAAGCACTTATTCCACTGAGCCATCTCCCTGGCCCCTATAGTACCGTTTTTTAAACTTCCCTATAAAATTAAAAAAAAAAAAATCTGGAAAATCACATTGAGAAAATTAAACAAATGCAGTGGGGGAATCAGAACCAGAATTCTGATTTAAGATTTTCCCTAAATTCTTTAAGAAAAAATGGAATAATTTTCAATAGGGTCAATATGCAGTAGATGAAACTCTACCAGCAGTCTTTAAGAAACATGCATCGGGCTGGGCATTGTGGTGCACACCTGTAATCCTAGCACTCAGGAGGCTGAGGCAGGAGGATTGCCTCTAGTTTGAGGCCAGCCTGGGCTACATAGTGAGTTCAAGGTCAGCCTGAACTACATAGCTAGACCATGTCTCAAAACCAAAAAATTACTTCCTTAACATTCTTACATCAATTATGGCATGATAATATCCTACCAAGATCAGAGTCTCTTTTTGATATTTGTGATGTCTGTTACACTGAAAAGAGACAAAGAGTTGCCTCATTTTATTATAAAATCTTTTGATACCCCTGTTGGTTGGGATGATGCTGAAGTGTAGTTTAGCTACACAATGCCAATAATAAAAACTGGGCCAGGCATGGTGCCACAGTCTTGTAATGCCAGCACTTGGGAGGCTGGGGCAGGAAGATCTCTGTAAGGGTGAGGCCTGCTGGGGCTATGGAGTGAATTCAAGACCAACCTGGACTACCATAGCGAAACAAAGAGCAGCAACAACAGAAGAAATGGAAGCTGTGATTACTGCTTGGGGGGGGGGGTTGTTTTGATTGGAGGGAGTGTTTAGTTTTTGGTTTTGTTTTTACTTTGCCAGACAGCTATACATGTCCAGAAGGGGAGTATAAAAGGAAGCACAGGGTGGCAGTTAGTGGATTTTAGAAGAAAAGGAAGGAAAAGGTGTTTGTTTTGTTTTGTGGTTTGTTCCATGAAAAGAGATTATACCTGGCCTCAATGAGAATCTTTGGAGAGATCATATTTATACTTGTATAAGTGTGATTGATAAGCTTGTCTCTGTTTGAAATGTCTGAGTCACTCAAGGAAATCTACAGTCAAGACCTATATTATTTATTCCCCTCGAAGCTGAATTGATAATAAAAATGCATCCCATGTCAACTTACATGTGTTATACCAGTGCGTATATATTTTAAATTGAAGTCGCAAGTCCTTCACAAAATGCAAACAACTTATGTCTTTGACTTAATTTATATCCAGTGTTCTATAATAAGCAAAATTTATATCACCCTTGCTTAGGAATGAAGTTACTTGCCAGGTATGGTGGTGTATGCCTGTAATCCCAGCATTCAGGAGGCTGAGGCAGGAGGATCAGTGCAAGTTTGAGGCCAGCCTGGACTACATAGTGAACCCAAGGCTAGCTGCACTGCATAGTGAGAGCCTGTCTCAAAAAGACAAAAAATAAAAACAATGAGGTTACTAGAGATTTCTCTCTTCGTGTGTGTGTGTGTGTGTGTGTGTGTGTGTGTGTGTCTGTGTGTGTGTGTGTCTCGGGGGGATGATACTCCTTTATCCTTAGCAAATGAAAAATAGACTAGCTTTCCTTCCCATTGCTTGAAATCACACTTGAATCAACTTTGGGTAGCATTTTGTTGCCTAAACAATCTCCTGGGTCTTGGCATTTTGAAATCACTGTTCTTCAACATTGTGTTATACTTTGGAGCTCACAAAATATAAAACGCTACTAAATTCAAAGGCAGCAAAAAAGAAGCAGTACCAGCCTTCCCAGAAATCCAAGGCAGACAGGAAGAGCGCCCCTGTCTCTCACGTCAATGCTTATCCTTTTATTTTTAGTTCTCTCCATTGCAAATTTCCAGTTCCTCTGAATGCCCAGACCAGCCATCCTGGCTTCCAGTAGGTTTTCCTTTTGTTTTGTGTTCTTGAGACAGGTAGTTCAGGCTGCCTTCACAGTAGTGGCAACCCTCCTGTCTCAGCCTCCAGCGTGCTGGGATTAGAGGTGTTCGTTAGCATACCCTACTAAATTTCTCCATGTTGACAATAATTTGTGCCTTTTGAATGTAAGTGTTGTTAAATATGAAAGTATTGGTTTGTATTTTTTTTCTTTTGAACACTTTAAATATATTCTGTTCAGGCCTTATGAATTGCTATTTAAAAAGCCTAATGATCACCTAATTTTTAGTTCTTTTACAAAAATCACTTGCTCTTTTTGCTTAATTTTCTTCTTTGAAATCCAAAACCTTTCTTTCTTTCTTTCTTTCTTTCTTTCTTTCTTTCTTTCTTTCTTTCTTTCTTTCATTCATGTTTTTAGTACAGGGTCTACAGGATCTCACTGCACAGATTGGATTTGTAGTGATCCTCCTGTTTGCAGCCTCCCAAACGCTGGGATTACGGGCGGTCCACGCTCAGTCTCAGTATGGGCGCCCCGGGGGCGGGGCCGGCACGGTACTCTGGGGATTGAAGCCCGGCCAATGAGTCTGCCTAAGCAGCCTGCCTGAAATCGAATAATTTTAGGAAAATGGGCCCTGATATAGAACATTCTTGAGCAAGACTCTCAGGTTTCATTTTGGTTTTGTTTCAAAATATAGTTTTAAGCTTTTTTTTTTTAAGTTTGAGATTTTTAAAAAATATAAAATAGCTTTACTGAGAGGTAATTCACTCACACGAAGTATACATCCCAGGGGTTTTTAGTGTGTTTACAGAACTGCACGTGTACCACCATAGTGAATTTTAGAACATTTTCAGTGATACCCCCAGAAGAGCTCCAAACCTTTGGTAGTCATTCCTTGTCTTTCTCTCTTTTATTGCTCATATTAGAAAAAATTAGCTTTTTTTTAACTTCAGAATATATTTCCAATATTTTGGTTTCCTTCTGGGATTTTTTATTTGTTCTGTATTTTTAAAGGATGGCTAGCCCTCTGAGATTTCCAGGTGTCCATTTGCTTCATGTGCTTTCACCGGGCTTTTTGCTTTCTCTCCTGCCTCTTTGGTGCCCAGCTTCTATTCTCCTCCCATCAGTTCCTCCCCATGTTTTGTTCTGCCCGAAAACCTAGCTGTTTGGCTTGAAGAGTTCACAGAGCATGGATTTCTTCAGCTTCTATAAGCTGGAGCAGGTAAACCCTTCCAGATTTTCCTGCTGCTCGTGGCTTGCCCCCGCTCCCCAGAAAATGCTTGGTGACTGTTTTTGTTTTTTGTTTTTTGTTTTTGTTTTTGTTTTTCTATTTTCACGTTCACGCAGTACCTCATTGATCTTCTCTACGTCCTTTCTTACAACTGCTGAGAGCAGCGGGACCTGAGGCTGTGGGCAGCTTGTCCCTCCTTGTGTGTGCGTTAGGATTTCTGGGAATCCCTTGCCCCGTTTGTTAACAATGTTAACTGTGGTAGCTGGTTTTACTGTCTAATTGCTCTGTCATTTTTATGTGAGGATTTGGTTGCCTGTCATCATCTTCTAGGAATTATTCTGGTTTAGCTTGGTTTGGTTTGTGAGACAGGGTCTTGCTATGTAGTTCAGACTGAACTCAAATTCACTATAATCCTTCTGCCTTTGCCTCCCAAGTGCTGAGATTATAGGCATGCACCACTATGCCTGACCAGAATGCTATTCTTTTTTTAAATTTATTATTATTTTTTAATATATTTCGTTATTACAGGGTCTCACTGCGCAACTCGGACATGTGGTGATCCTCCTGTTTTCATCCTCTTCAGCACTGGGGTTACAGGTGTATGCCACCACGCTGGACTCTGGCTGGCTCAGCCTAACCTGGGGGCAGGGCTGGCATGGCATGTTTGGCCAAAAATCCAACCGTGGTCCCTGCACTTGCCTAAGCTTGCCTAGGCAGGCACTTTAGATCACTGAGCTATCTCGCCAGCCTAGCTTGCTGTTCTTATATATGGACTAGAAACTGTAAGGTATTGGAGACAAAAGCCAAAGTACAAGAAAAATTAGAAGGGTATTGCAGTAACTCGGTGAGAGCATGGGATGAGGAGAGTAGGTGATGGTAGGTAGGAGAAGTGGATCGTGGATAAATTTTGAGGTGAAAGTTGCAAGACTTTGTGCTGGGCTGCACACCTGTTACCCCTGCGCTCGGGAGGCTGAGGAAGGAGGATTGCTGTGAGCTTGAAGCCTGCCTAGGCTATATAGTGATGCCCTGTCTCAAAAAAAAAAAAAAAAAAAAAAAAGATTTTGTGATGGCTGGGTAGAAAAATGGGCTTCTTTTTCACCTACTGAAATTAGAAGACTGGCTGGTGAGATAGCTCAGTGGACTAAGCACCTGCTTAGGCAAGTGCAGGGACCTGGGTTCGATCTCCAGCATCATATGCCTTTCTGGCCCAACTTCTCGGTGTTATGAGCCAGCCACTGAGTCCAGGCATGGTGGCACATGCCTGTAATCTCAGCAATGGGGAGGCTGAAAATAGGAGGATCACTCTGAGTCTGAGCTGGGTAGTGAGACCCCGTACCAAATGCATAATTAATAAATAAATAAATTAAATGAAATTAGAAGACTGCAAGAGGAACAGTTCTCGATGGGGGAGAGAAAGCAGAATTAGGTTTGAGTGCATGCTAGATATCTAAGCAGAAACACAGAATAGGCAGTTTAAATGGGGATTGGAATTTAGGGAGACTTGGGCTAGAGATAAATTTGGAAGCAAATAGATGGTTCTTAAAGTCCTAAGCCTGCGAGAGATCTAAAGAGTAAATATAGATGGGGGAGAGAGGGATTCTGAAGTCTGAGATGTGGGTGCATTATGCCATTTAGGTATGGATACAGTAGCTATTATTTCTGAGCATTTTGATGCTTTTCCACTCTTTTTCTTTCTTTCTTTCTTTCTTACTTACTTTCTTTTTTTTTTTTTTTTTTTTTTTTTTTGTGGAACCGGGAATTGAACTCAGACCCTTGCATTTGCCAGGCAAGCATTTGTTCCACTGAGCCTTCTCCCTGGCCCATTTCCACTCTTTCTGACATTTTTAACAAACGCTCATCTTGGCAATGAACTAGCTCCTAAAAGTCAAGGGGAGGCTGGGTTCAGGGACTCCTAAGGCAGATACTAAGGACTAGAATACTTAATATCCTTTTGCACCCCCCTCCCTCTGTTCTGCAGAGGCTGGAGTGCTACACACCACACTCTGCACAACCCCATGCAGCTGTGTGTCACATGTAGTTAATGCTGGATTTAGATGGGGAGAAGCAGGTGCCATCCACTCTGCAGGTTGCATGTGGCAGAGACAGAGTGCTAGAGCTGGTGGCATGATAACATTTCAATTTGCCAGTCAGCCTGAAGCTCTAAATGTTTAGCCTAAACTGTTTTTGCTTTTGGATCTAATTACTCTACAATCCATTTCATCTGTTGTAATAATTCCCTTTCTGTTTACACTGGCTAGAGTACATTTTATTCTCTGCACCTGAATTCAAACTAGTAAATACCCTCATGGTCCGGTATTTGGGATATAGGTGGGTGTGTAAACTCATTCGCAAGTGGGGAGTAGGTGTATGTGGGTGTGATGTGTGTTACACCCCAGGGTAGAGAGCGGCCGGGCTGTGTGGGCCCTGGAGGGCACTCATGAACCATCACGGCAGGTGCTCCACTAGCTGAAGATGAAGAGGAGAGCTCAGACACAGAGTTCCTGATGCCCAAGTTTCAGCACCAGCCCAGCCATGCTGTTCGCATCTTCTGTGGCCCAAGTGTAGGACTGGTGTGGCCCTGGAAGTCTCACCCAGTCACTGGTGTCCTAGAAGTCCATGGGTACAGGCTTCGGGGCCAGTACTTGCCGCCCAATTATGATCAGCTTCAGGAGGACTTGGACAGCAACCTTCGAATCCAGCAGGCACTGACTATACAACAGGCACTGCTGGAGGTAAGAACACAGGTTCAAGGAATGGGTTGCTCCCAACGGTTTCTATCTCAGCCACTGCTGTTGCCCTGCCGTGTTGTCTGCCCTCAGGACGTGATGCTGGAGGTACAGGAATTCTGCAGCGAGCATCGCTGGATAACAGACATTTATGAGTTTCTGCAAGCCTGGGGGCCTCAGAGGCTGGAGGACATGTGTGGGTGTCCTGTAACGGACTACATCAAGGTGGTGGAACAGCTGAGCGCTTGGCGGACCCACATCTCCAGTATGCCCGTGGAGGTGCTCACCAAAGGCAAGCTGCTGCTGCTGAGCTGCCATGAGATGCAGGCAGAGCTGAGTGAGTGCTGCCTGTTTTCCCTCCTTCCTCTTTTGCTCCTGCCTTGTTGTGTCTTATCTGTAGGGCCCACCCTGAGCTCTGAGTGTCCTGCAGGGACCTTTAGCACAGGCCCCTCCTAGACCTTTGGAGTCTAGAGGCCTCAGCCCCTTTCCATCCCAGTTGTGCTCACCAGCAGACAGCTTCTCTGTCGCCTGCTCATTCTCTCAGCTCCTTTCTTATGGGTAGAAGTAGCTTAAAAGAAACAAGCTTGGCTTGTTCTGTGGGCTTCTGAGCTCAGTTTCCTCACAGAGGCTTTTGGACAGGGAGAATGTCCCTCCCCACACGTAGCATAGTCATAACTTATACCATAATTTGTGTGTGTGTAAAAACTTATTAACTGATCTTATCTTATCTTTGGTGGCTAGGGACAGATAGAGGAATGCAATAACCTTCCCAATGAAAGAAACCTCTGTATTTAAAGCAGCTACTTTGGTCTCACTTGGTGTATGTTGGATATTTGATCAACCCAAATGCATCTCACAGGTCTGGGTGGTTTTTATTCTCAAGTGTCCTCTGTTCCCTTTCCTTTCCCAGGTGCCCTCTGGCTCTGGAGCGTGCTGTGGGCTGCTTGCCCTTCTCTCATGGATGCTCCTGGCACCACAGGGCACAATCTCTCACCCTTGTAGGGTCCTGTGCGCCTGCCTTTCCTACTGGGCCACAGCTTGGCTGCTGCTGGCCTCTTAGATTGGCCTCTCCCACAGCATTGACTTCAGGGTCCCTCCACACAGAGCCCACCCAGGCCCACTGGCTACCAATTTTCTGCTATCTTCTCTCTCTCCTGCCATTTGGATGAGAGTTGTCCCTTTTTCTATGACAATCCATCATCACCCATGATTTCTGTTCTGTGATGGAGGTGTCTTATTAGCACAGAGGCACCCTCATAGGTAGTTTCCTTCTAAAGTTTCATAGAAAAGTAGGAGTCAAGAGTACTCTATGCTCGGGAAGAATGGGAAGGGCAAGGGAGGGAAGACGGAAAGAAACAGAAAAGAAAAATGAGAAAAGAAGGAAAAAAATGAGGGGCTGGTGAGATGGCTCAGTGGTCTAAAGCACCTACTTAGAACAAGCTTAGCAAAGCACAGGGACCAAGGTTCAATCCCCCAGTACCACATGCCAGCCGGCCCCACCCCCTGGTGGGCTGAGCTGGCCACACACACACACACACACACATAAATAAATAATTTTTAAAAAAGAAGAAGGAAAAAAATGGAAGCAAAGGTTTTATAAATAAGGAGGGGATGAGGGGTTGAAGGGAGGGGAGGGGAATGAGAAAAAAAGAATCAAGTTGTATCATATACAAGTACAAATTCCCTATGATGAATGATTATTATATATAGCTAAAATGGATCAAGAAAATTAATTGAAAAAGAATACTCTGTTCTCAGTCTCCTCAGCCTGTGTCAGTGTCTTCTCTCAGCATTTCCTACCCTACTAGGTCAGTCTCTGAGAACTTGCTTTATAATTTGGTGTTGCTCTCTCTTTCTTCTTCGTCCCTTCCTCTGGGAAAGTTGTCTGATGCCAAGTGTCTCAGTTTAGCGCTAGCCTTGAGGAAGCTCATGTGGCATGGATTAGGGAGACAGCGATTTGTTCCTCTATAAAACAGGAGGATATGTTTTCTTTCTTTCTTTTTTTTTTTTCGGAACCAGAGATTGAACTCAGGCCCTTGAGCTTGCCAGACAAGCGCTTATTCTACTGAACTATCTCCCCGGCCCCAGGTTTTGTTGCCTTGTACAGCCTCCAAGGCTGGCAGTAACCAAGAGGACCCTGCAGTAGATGATATCTACGTGTAGCCACCTCCGTGACCTGTGGTGCCTAGATCTGTTGGACCTGTGATCCCTGAGGCCTGCTATTTTTACAGAGCAAGGGGCTTAGAACTGGAGCCTGGAAAACATTTGTTTGAAAATGCTGGCTGCCTGGCGCACCCTGGCTTTGCTCCTCCACAGGTGGATGCACAGGCCTCCCTGACCGGGTTGCGAGCCGCTGGAATTCCCTGCTCCTGAGGGGTGCAGGCCTGCGCCCAAGGCTGCTCCACAAAGGCAGGAACCTGTGATTGGTCTTCCTTCCCCTTGGGCAGGCTTTCTTCCACCGTTGCCGCGGAAGTCTGCATTCTCTTTCCAGTTTGTGAACTTCCTGATCATCAATCCGGGATCAGATGGACTCTTTTAAGAAGCAGTTGGAGAGGAAGAAGCACTGAGTTTAGAATCCTGACTGTGACTTAACGTCACTGAGCTTCAGTTTCTTTGTTTGCAACCCGGGCACATGGGGCATGCTAAACACTGACGCTTACAGTGAAGAGGATTGGAAGAGATTGTCACAGTGTTCCTAGCGCTGATGGCAGCTTGTGGCAGGCATTTAATAATTTTTAAAATCTCACCATATTCTCTCCTGACGACTTTCAGCCTTCTTGCTGGCCATATTTTATCCTTTTATCCTGACTCTGCCTTGAACAGTGAGCGGCACATTCACCCTAATAGATTGGCCTCCCCAGAAAGCAGGCGTCGTCCTTTTCTCTTCTATCTTTAATTCCATTCTACCTGACCTTTCACTAAATCCTTCCCATCTTCTGCTTCCTAAATCTCTCTCAAATCTGTTTTGTCCCAGTCCGAGAGCAGGTAGTTTATTAAGCCATTGCTCTTTTATACCATATGGTGTCGCTGTTGCACTCCTGGTCGCCTCAGCGGCCCGACGCCACTATAGAATGTCCCTGGTTTATAAGAGAGGCAGATTGCTTTGCAAGTGAGTCTTACACATCCTTGATGCAGATATACAGTGTAAAGCATAAGAACAAGAGGCTTGCAGGTTAGCTCAGTTGCTTAAGCGTCTACTTATGCGACCGCGATTGAGGCCGCCTGAGCCAGCAGGACTGTGGCAAGTGTCCGCAGATGTGGGAACTACTTCCTCCATTCATTTGCATCTCCATAACGTAAGGCCCCCTTATATCTGCGAAGGTTTGCAACTCAAACGTTTGTAAGTCGGGGCCTTACTGAAGTTCAAATGGCCTCTTTGCAGTGGCCTAGATGATGTCAGGGGCCAGAAGGACATTTTGAAAAATCACACATTTACTTCCTCATGTTCTGGTTCCACAAATGGTGCTCCCCCACACGAGCCCTCTCAGGGGATTTTGTCTTTCCCCCCTTGGGGGCAGATTCTCATGGTTACCTTCTGGAAGGCTCTAATAGTGCCATGCAGCTGTGTCTATTCCCTGCCCTCAGAACTCACATGTAGCCACTCTCCTGTTGCAGAGATACTAATCAGAGATAGCCTGGCTTTCTTTTCACATAACATTTTATTTTAGTTATTTTAGAGTGATTTATTTGTGGGTTTTTTTGTTGTTGTTGTTGTTGTTGTTGTTGTTTTGGGGGATTTTTTTTTTTTTTTTTTTACAGTCTTGTAGTACAGGCTGGCCTTAAACTCATTATGTAGCCCAGACTGGCCTCAACTAGTAGCGATCCTCTTGCCTCAGCCTCCCAAGTGCTGGGATTACAGGTATGCACCACCACACCAGGCTTAGTTATTTATTTAGGTTTTTTTGTTTGTTTGAGACAGAGTCTTCCTCTGTAGTTCAAACTGGCCTTGAACTCTATGTAGCCTGGGCTGGCCTTGATCCACCTGTTTACATATTTATATTTCTATGATTACGCATTCTGTGTTTATGTTTGTATTTATAACTTGAGTGAAGCCAGGCTGCCTGAGTTGGAATGCTTGTGCTACTGTTGTATAATGCTAATCACCTTCCTTACTCTGAGTCTCTGTTTGGTTATAAAAGAAGGAAAGGGGTAATTAACTCAAAGGGAAGTTTTTTAAAGATAAAACAGGTTAAATAGGTAGGTGGACTAATGCCAAATTCTATACTGAATTTAGAGTTTACCGTATGTTTGAATTTTACTATTCTGTTTATATTTTAATATCTCTGAATTTAAGAAGTTTAATTCTTCTGGTTGATGGCATATCACAGTTTAGATGGCATCCTTTTTTCTTTTTAGTAATATATAAAATGATGACACCTTTTAAAATTAGTGATATTTTGGATCTGATGAAATATATCGGTCTTTTTGCCTTCTGAGAAAATGCAGTTGTTCCTATATCCTAGGGCAGCTTCTAAAATTATCTTCCAACTCCGTACTCTCCTGAGCTTCTTTCCTTTAATTCTTAAAAGCCAGACAGATGATGCCCTTTTCTTAGCGCCTCTTCTACCAGCGCAGAGACGGTAAGACCCCGAGAGGAGAGCACTGATAAGGGCCCCTGCTATTCTTGGCCGTGTCATTTCCATGCCCCTGCATAGCTGTTTCATTAAAACTACTCCACACATCCAACTCCAGTGACCTCTCTGAGGAAGCCTTTGCAAGCCTTCTCCAGCCCTTTTTCTTCTCACGGTGCTTGCATGAGGGCTGGGGAGACAGCTCAGCAGCTTAAGTGCCTGCCTGGCAAGCGCGAGGTCCTGAGTTTGATCTACAGTACAAAACAAACAAAACCAACTATGCATGCTTAAAGGCCTCTGGGCACCTACAGAAGATTTATCACGCTGCGAGTACCCATTTATCCATCTGTGTATGTGCGCCAGCCACCATGTTGTAAGGAACTTTTTGTCTTGCCTACTGGTGTAGCACACAGACCTCCCTGCAGAGCAGCAGGCTGGACACAGAGCGGGGATACATCGAGCATTCCAGGAGTGAGGGATGCGTTTACTGTATGGCCTTCAGCCCACTCTGGGGCCTAGCACCCCTTTACTTTTCATGCATCCCCCCTATGTGTCTCGTTTCCAGAGTCCAAGCTGAACGGCATGCGGAAGGATATTCTTACACAGGTGCAGAATGAGTGCCGGAGCCGTAGTCAGCAAATAGCAGCAGAGCTCACAGAGTTCACACAGGTCTTCCAAATCATCAGTACAGACATTCATTCCATTGCACAGTGCTCCCAGAAGGTGGGTTCTCCCCAGCCATCCCTCTCAGTTTGTCCAGGGCCCATCCTCCTCAGAGGCTCAGCACATACTCTTCCGGTCTCCACTGAGCTCTCAAAGGATGCTCTTAAAATACGTGGGTGAGCTGCCATCACTAACCCTTGCTCCTTCGACATGCCATTGGTTTCCTCTGTCAGGAGGAGGTCAGGGTGTAATGAAAGAAGTAGCCTTACTTTCAGAGATGTGGTTCTTCTCTCTGTGTCAGGCAGATAAGGCAGTGCTGCCGTCATCAGAGTGACGGTGTAATGGGTGAGCACTAGGTGGCCTTCAGCGAGCCCCGCATTAGAAGGGGATCTGGTCCCAGATTGCTCCAATCTCAATGAGTTAAAAAGCTGCAGCTACATCCAGACGGTGGGCCCGGTCCTTGAGGATGGGTCCGTAGAGGTTCACGGGGTAGCCGTGGGTCTGGTCTCGTGTTGTCATCCTTGCAGTTGAATGAAGCCAACGAAGAGTACATCGCGTTGGAGGAGCGAATAGAATACGTCCGGTCACTCCATGAATTCATCCGCAACTACTTTAACCTCTTTAGTGCCGAGAATGAGGCACTGGAGAACTCGGTGAGGGGGTCATTTAGGGAGCCGCCCACCTCCCGGTCCACTTCCTCTCCAACTACATCTACTCCACTTCCCTCCGCTTGTCCCACAGCTTCTGGATACATGGGAGGCATTTCAGTTTGAGAAAACCCAGGCCTCAGAGTTCCTGCTCAGCAAGCAGTATGCCATTGTGCCCAAGCTGCAGCAGCTGATGACGTCAGCCTTGGCCGAGCTGGAAGGCCTGCTTACGAAGGCCCTGTCTGGTCCCTTCATGGACCCCACACAAGAGCAGAGGAACACCGAGAGCAAACTCGTCTCCATGGAGCACCAGTTCAAGAACACAGCCAGCCACCTCAGTGAACTGCATCATGCCTACGTCACCTTTACTGGTACTGAGAATCCCCACCGGGTCCACCATCACTCTGAGATAAGAGTTGGCGTCTTATGTCCTGTGTGATCTTGAGCAAGCCTCAGGAACCACATTCCTTTGTTGGTCTTTCTCTGAAATATTGTTTATTTTCTTTATTTTGTTAGGCATTTTATTTATTTATTTTGCAATGCTATGAATTGAACCCAGGTCCTTAGCACTGAGCTATAGCCCTTGGCTTTTATTTTATTTATTTGTTTAATTTTGAGGCAAGCTATTGCCAAGTTGCCAGGCTGAGCTCTAAGTTGTGAGTCTCTTTTTTACAGCCTCCCAGAGTTCTGGAATTATAGGCGTATTTTGTTGATCTATTTAATAAGCAAATATTGCAAGAGGAAACCTTTATATATTTGATAGTTCAGTTGTTGCATTTAGGGTGGGAATAAAGGGGGGTTATAGTCTAGTAGGGAAGACAAACAGCCAAATGTTTCATTAGAATGTGCTGGGGTCAGAGAGTAAAATCCTATGCAGGAAAAAGGTGCACTCTTACTGTAGACAGAACTTGGTCCTTCTGTTCAGCACAGCCCTGCACCAGGACCCGGAAGTGTGCCACAAATAAAAACAAATCTTGCCAGCGCAGCAGCCTTCGCCTCCAACCAGTGTGGCTTAGAAAGTAGGCGGCTGAAGGCCTCAGAGCGGCCCCGGAGACCGGGGCGGACTTGAGCCCAGTGCTTCCAACAGTGGTGCAGGTGGGCTGCTTCTCTTCTGTACACAAAGTGGGCAGAAGTTTTTCTTCAAACTTAGATGTTGTATTATTGTCTTCTAGGGCTGGTGAGATAGTTCAGCAGACTAAGCACCTGCTTAGGCAAGCTCGGGCCAGGGCTCGATCCCCAGCACCACATGCCTTGCCAGCCTCGCCCCTATGCACTCTGAGCTGGCCGCAGACTGGGCATAGTGGTGCATGAGTCCAAGCTGTATAGAGAGGCCCTGTACCAAATATATAAAAAAAGAAAGAGAAAAGATATTGCATTATTGTCTTCTAATATTTAGCATTTTGGGCAAATCTGATATAATCAAGCTTTTTCTTTTGCATGGAATCTGTTTATCAATTATTTGATAATCACTCATTTGTGCTCTGGCACTGTCTAGATATCTTATGTGTATATTGGATTTACTAGTCTTGCCTTCATTTTTAAATTTTTTTCACTCATTCTCTTATTTCCTTTCCTCTGAGTTCTAAAAATAAGCAATGAGCTTGTCTTATAAGCTTCTGTTTCATGTATCTGCTCTATATTTCCATTGATTTTAGAGCATGCACAAGTATTCTGTGTGTATGCATGCTTATACACACATGTGTATGCATGGCAACATATGTTTATATGTTTACGTGCATGTATTTCCTAGTTCTATTTGCTGATGTGGATGAGAAACAAAGACCTCAGTGACAAGAAAGTCATCTTGCTCTCAGATTTTAGTTTCTAATCCCATTATCTGCTGTAACAAACCAAGGGGCCTCAGAAAGATGGATGACTCAGGGCTGTGGCAGGGTAGGTACAAGGTGAGCATGGAGTAAGATTTTTATACCTCAAAGTAAGGAAACAATAAGTTAAAAAAAAGAAGCAATGATAGAAACATGATGAGGATACGTAACAGATGCCAGCTGGCCAAATCTAGAACAATTTGAGAAGCAAAGTGCAGTACTAGGGTAATATATTCCAAACTATTGAATACCCAGGAATTTAATTATTAATAAAAAAAAAAATAGTGGGGGCCAGGGAGATGGCTCAGTAGAATAAGTGCTTGCCTGGCAAGTGCAAGGGCCTGAGTTCAATCTCTAATTCTGAAGAAAAAAAAAAAAAAAAAAAAAAAAAAAAAAAGATAAAGCAAAAAGGAAGAAGTATAGACTGATCTTTGCATACAATGCCAAGGTCTGATAGGAGATCAAGATGGAGACAGAGGGGCAGAGTGGGAAAATCATTTTTCAGCCAGCAGAGTAAATACTGGGTCAAGTGGGTGGCAGCAGATGGCAATCGAGGCAAACCTAGTGACAAGTAGAAGACTTGCACCGCTTTGGACTGCCACCCCCAGAGGCTACTTATACCTGTTAGTTGTGGGGAGTAAAGAAAGAAACAGCAGTTAGTGAAGAAACTGGGTAGCAAAGTGCCAGACACCACCTACGCGTGATCCACCAAGGGAGGGTAGCATCAGGAGCAAAATCGTGGAGACAGAACTTGAGTAACTTTCTGTTAACAAGAAAGAGGGAAGAGGGTTTGCATAGGACTTTGAAGTGTCTACATTTTCAGGCAAGCAAAGCTGTAAGAATATTCTAGATTAGAAGAAGTTAAAAAGACATGACAAAGAAGTACTTCACCCTAGATTATTCGCTGCTGTATTTGAAGGCAAATAATGCCCTCAAGTTCAATTCCTAGTACCCCAACAAAGGAAAAGTTTGATAATTGCATAGTGATTATGGAGGAGAATCTCTCTATTTTTTTTTTTTTTTTTTAACCAGGAGTCAAACTCAGGGCCTGATGCTTGCCAGGCAGGCGCTATGCCACTGAGCTTCATTCCCAGTGCAAGTCTCCCTGTTCTTAGGAAGCATGTACTTGAATATTTTGGGGAAGATCTGTCTATGATTTATGTAATTTACCCTGAAATAGTTAAGAAAAGTTTTGTGTTAGTATGTGTATTTACATGCCTGTACACATGCAGACCATGTAAAAACAACCTAAAAGCAAATGGTTGAAGTTGAAATGTTATAATAAAAGGGAAAGCTTTTTTTCTTTTCTTTTCTTTTTTTCTTTCTTTTTTTTTTTTTGTGGCTGGCTCAGCCTACCCTGGTGCCAGGACCATGGTCCCTGCACTTTGCCTAAACTGCCTGAGCAGGCACTTTAGACCACTGAGCTATCTCATTGGCCCCGAAAGGAAAAGCTTGATAGGAGATATACAGTTTTAGTAAGACAGTAGTTAGAGATATCCATTTTGCTCTTTTTTTTTTTCAACTTTTAAGTATTTTGAAATCACTTCTAAATAAAATTTTTTGAAGAACATTAAAGATTACTGAGAAGATACCACAGAAACTAGCTATAGAAGAATGCTTATTTATTTACTTGTTTTCTTTCTTTCTTTTTTTTTTTAGCATTACTGGGGATTAAGTTGAGAGAACACCAATCTATATCCCCCATCCTTTTTATTTTATTTTGAAATAGGGTTTTGCTACATTGTCCAGGCCTTACATGTGTGATTCTCCTTCCTCATTCTTCTGAGTAGCTGGGATTATAGGTGTGCACTACCACACCTGGCTAGGGCATTTGCTCAATTTTTTTTTTTTTTTTTTTTTTTAAGACAGGGTCTCACTATGTAGTTCAGGTTGGCCTTCAACTCATGGCAGTCTTCCTGCCCAGCCTTCCAAGTGCTGGGATTACAGGAATGCACCACCAGGCCTTCATCTCTGCATGTTTGGAGCTACCGTGTCTGCCCCTTCTTACCGAGGAAGTTATTTGCCCATATTTGATACTGGGACACTTCATATCAAAGATTCTTTAGGTCATTGGTTGTGATCCCTAGGTACTCAAGCAGGAAGGTCTCAAGCATGAGGCCAGCTTTGGCAACTTAGTAAAACCATGTCTCAAAGTAAGAAATAAAAAAGGCTGGGGTTTACAACTCTTGTTGCACAGGTCCTGCTTTACCTTGGTCTTAACCATCCAGTAGAAAAGAATGAAGACGCAATATAGGAAGTAAAGCCATGCTGTTATGTTGATCTGTGGGGGACTCAGGTCAATAATTTCGGACATTGCCAGTTAAACAGAAGACCCAATGCTATTATGGGCTACTGGACTCTTTTTGAATATTTTGCTGAGTTTACACACCTATAATATTCAACAACGGAACTTAAAAAAAAATGGGGTATACCAATGAATGTCCATTTTGTATCTGTGTATTCAAAGTGGTTGGGATAGATATATAGTTGCATTCTCTTAATGAATAGAATGATTTGTTCTAATGGTGTTTGTAAATAGGATCTCAAGTCCACATCTTGTACAGCAATTAACCACTAAGAAGAATATATGCAGTGTATTATTTGTTGAAACTGTACTTCCGATTTGATTTGAAACTGTCTCATTGCTATCTGTTTATTAATAAAATTTTGAAAAAACAAAAAAAGAAAAAAGGCTGGGGATGTAGCTCAGTGGTAGAGTGCACCAGGGTTCAAACACCTCCCCCCACATCCTGAAAAAAAAAGGGGGGGGGATTCAGTGGGTCTTTGGCTCCAACTTTTGAATTCCCAGAGATTGAAGGAGCTCAGATTTTATTTTTTTGTCAAATGAAGAGGTCTGATAAATGATCCTAATAAGTGTTTCATTATTCTGAGATCTTCATGATGTATGATGTTCATATGTCAAATACATCATTTCCAAAGTTGGCTGTAAGTCTCTTTTCTACTCTCCCAGGAACAGAACAGGAATTGCAGTGAATGAGAATGACAGTCTTATAGCAGTACACTAAATGTCAGTACATTCTAATGTCAGTACTATAATAATTATTAATTACAAATTACTTTCAGCATATATTTCACACCTATGAAATATTTTCACATTTAAGACCAATGCAGGAGCATGTGAAAGCAAGCGAGTGAATAATCCCCAACAAAAACACAGCGGGGGACTTCATTTACCCTGGCGAAGGCCGGATATGTTTTCATATTTATGTCCCTGAAATTCTTTTTTCTCTTGAAATTCTCTGGGCTGAGAATTCATTCACTTACCCATTCGTTGAACACATAGCTGTTGGTGCCTCATATGTACCAGGCTTGAGGGGCATCCATGAGGCCAGGACAAAGCTCCTACCCAGCTGACCTGGCGTTCTAGGTGGGGCGAAAACAGTAACTGTTAAACATAGCCTATGACTAACTGTGCAGCAGCAGTATATTGGAAAGTGAAAGAGGTATAGAGAAAAAAAAAATAGGGCAGGGTAAGAGAGATTTAAGAATGGCAGGAAGAGCTATAAGGGTTTTTAATGTGATGATCTGCATAGGCCTTTTCTTTTTCCAGAACCAGGGATTAGAACTCAGGCCCTTGCACTTGGCAGGGAAGCTTTTATTCCACTGAGCCTTCTCCCTGGCCCCAGCATAGGCCTTATTGAAAGAGGTTTATTTATTTATTTATTATGTATTTAGTACAGGGTCTACAGGATCTCACTATGCAAATGGGACTCATAGTTTTCCTTCCAGTTTTTCAGCCTCCCAAGTGCTGAGATTACAAGCGTGCACCACAACGCCCAGGCTTAATCACCATCTCAGTGTGCCTTGGGGGTTGGGCCAGCATGGCAGGGTGGGAATCGAACCCCTGGCCTCTTGTGTCTGTCTGAGCAGGCACTTTAATCTGCTGAACTATCTGGCTGGCCGTGTTTTTATTTTTTGTTTGTTTTGATATTGGGAATTGAACTCAGGACGTTGCCCTTGGCTGGTAGGCACTGTGCCACTGAGCTGTACCCCAGGCCCTTTGTGTTTGTTTGTTTGTTTGTTTGAGACAGGGTCTCACTATGTAGTCCATGCTGAGCCTTGAACTCACTACATAGCCTAGGCTAGCCTCAAATTCACAGCAATCCTGCCTCAGACTCTGGAGTACTGGGATTACAGGTGTGCACCACCATTCCTGGTTTGTGTAGATCTTATTAAAATGGTACTGTCTGAATAAAAGTTTGAGATTGGTGAAGGCTGGAATCATGTGATTCTCTGAAGAATGAATGTTTTAGAAAGAGTGAACTGCAAGTCAGAAAGGCCCTTAGCAGCAGGGAGCATGCGCAGTATAGTGCCTGAGCAGTGGTAGAGTCGGGCATGCCTCCAGTGAGTGCAATGGAGGTTAATAGAAGGGGAATCCTTCCATTTCACTGCCATCGTGTTTTCTCAGACATTCTTTGTTTGGAAAGTTCCTCTTGCATTGAACATTTACACGAGCACACCTCCTGGAACCTCTCTCCCATCAGTATGGGCTCTTGATTGGCCATTGCCTAAGAAGCGCAAGCCTCAGCCAGCCCTATTCCACAGGCGATGAGAGTCCTGTGCCCTTGCCCGCCTGCGGAACCCGTCCTATCGTGATGCAGCAAAACATTTGGCACCTGTACCGAGTAGTCTCGGAAACTTTAAGTGAATGGAAATGCATGGCGTTTGTCAAGGTAATGACACTCCTCCTTGGAGAGACTTCCTGGTAGAAGGGTTGTGGAGGATGGGGCGGCTCCCTCAAACTGACAGTGAGCCCTTTTCCTGCAGTTCAGCCTGGCTGTGGCCCAGGAGAAGACGGATGGCTGGCTGACAGAGGCGGCACGGCTGAGCACAGCTCTAGGGATGCAGAGCCCAGTGGTGCAGCGCTGCATGCATGTGCTGGAGGAGTTCCGAGGCTACCTGCCTTTGCTCACCAAGCTGGGCAGCTTCCAGAGGCAGAACCTCAATTATCAATCCCTCTTAAGAGGTAGGTTTGGTTAGAGTCAGGGAGGAGGAGGAAAGGGTGAATAAGGGTTGAAAACAACTCAACAACTTAGTTCCCTGCGGCTCTTTCTGGAAATGCAAGGTTGTTCCCTAGTCTCTCACTTCCCCTAACCACCATCTCACACACCACCTCAACCCCAGAAAAGAAATTCCATTGTCCCTGATTTCCACCTAGGGTCTTCTCTAGATGGGGGCTAGGCTCAAGTTGAGGGCTTTGCTCTGGGCCCCAAGTTGTGCTGAGAAATCCTGAGTCCAGAGTCTGAGCTGAGCTGGGCTAGGCTCTTTGTCCTATGTCTGGGGCCTGGGCTTAGGGTGGAAGTGGGCTTTGGGACATGGGCTAGACTCTGACATGCACTGTGTGTTCTGCTTTGTCTCTTCTACCTTCAGCCTTAGGTCTAGGCAGTCTCCAAAGCGTGGAACTCCTGACACTGGGTCAACTGCTCGCTTGTCCATTGCTGGAGTTTGCAGATCGAATCAATCAGGTAGGGCCTGTAGGAGACAGGGCAGGAGGGACTTGAGCTCTAGGACCTGTAATAGGAGATGCCAAAGCCAAGACTCCCTTGAGCGACAGGGCCAGTGAATGTGGCTGTGTGGGTGGGTGGGTGGAAGTTGGGGGTTGAGATTCCTGAGCAGCTAGAGAGGAGGAATAGTCTCCTTAAGTGTTCAGATGAGGAACTGGTGTGTGGTTCCAGACTATATGACTGATAACTCCCTGGGAGAAGGACACAGGTGTCATACTCGGAGTGGTAGGCACACGGGATGGCAGATGCCCCCCAGTACTGGCTCTAACTGAAAAGAGCATGAACTGACCTGCTCACTGGAGCCTCCTGAAAGGGTGGGTTTGGACTCTGGGCCAAGACAGTCAGATGCTGCTGATAGCCTGTCTTTGAAGCCTGGTGACCCCAAGATCCCCTGAGCCATCAGCCAGTTCTGGCTTCTGAGACCTCCCTGTTCTAGATCTGGCAGTGTGACAATGAGCGAATCCGGGCCCAAGAGAGCCTCCAGCGGCTGCAGCAGGACTGGGAAGTGCGCCAGCTGCGCCTGCTCAATTTCATCCTACATGTCCCTTACGAGTCCTCGGCTTCCAAGCACTCCAGAAAGCACACAGTCTCCAGCCCCCAGTGGAAGGCAGTGGGCAAGGATAGTGGCACCTTCATCCTCTCAGGTAGGACTCGGCCCGGTGACTCTGTGACTGCCTCTTGCTGGGAACCATTTCCAACCACTGTCACACCCACCAAGTCCTGCCAGACCTGTCTGTAGTCAGGGCCTCATTGTTCCTGAAGAGGCCAAAGTATCATTCTATTCTAAGACTGTGTCTCCCATGCTGTCTTAATCTCCATGAGAGAGCACCACACATCCTCCTCTCACCCAGTGCCTCGCTCCATCAGCAAAGGTCCTCTCTTTCTGGGTGACTCAGACATTCCTCCGGGTTGTTGCTCCCTGTGCTTCAGGACTCAGCCTCTAGATCGCATCTGATGTCTGACCCAAGCCCATTTGTTCATACTTTGTCTTTCCCTCCTTAAACTGACCATAAGACAAACACAGGAAACCCTGAGATTGTAGATAGCAGCCCTCTCCTGTAGAAGCTCCCGATCAGTGAGGGACAGACAATAGCACGCAGATAAGTGCGTGATGGAGTGTCTTACCGAGAGGGCAGTACAGTCTCAGAGAGGGGACCCATTCAAAAGAGCAGGGAGAATCGGGAAGTCTCCTCTTGGGCGAGGCCTCATGCTGACTTTTTTTTTTTTTTTAGTGTGTGTGTGTGTGTGTGTGTGTGTGTGTGTGGCCAGCTCAGCCCACAAGGGGGCGGTGCTGGCTGGCATGTGGTGCTGGGGGATTGAACCGCAGTCCCTGTGCTTTGCTTAGCTTAGCTTGTTCTAAGTAGGTGCTTTAGACCACTGAGCCATCTCACCAGCCCCTCATGCTGACTTTTGAAGGAGCAGGAGTTTGCCAAACTTGCAGGGTGAGAAGGGCACTCCAGAAAGCAGCACATGTGTAAACATCCAAGATGATATTGCTGGGGAATTGCCAGTAGAGGGGAAGTTCTCCAACATAACCAGAAGCTAATGAGTGAATCTAAATATTAGCTAAATTGGTTTAATCATAAAATATGATGTATAAAAAATAAGTAAAATATTATGTAGGTATGACTTACATTTGCATTTACTTACGAACTTTTTATTCTAAGGATGAGAGCTGTTTTTCTTTTTCTTTTTTTTTTTTTTTTTTGATTTGGAGTCCTTTGATTGCTCCTCACTAGCTTTCTTGAATTTTAGATTGTCATCTATGTCGATTTTCACTTCTGTGAAGTTGGCTACCAAGGCAGAGACACTTACAAAGTACAGTGATTGCAGATCTCTTCTAGACTTTTATTGTAATTTTACAATTTTATGAAGCAAAATGACCACAAGTTCAAGTCCCACCTAGTGAGTTCCTGTCTCAGAAAAAGAAACTGCAAAAGCTGGGGGTGTAGCTCAGTGGTGGAGTAGTCTTGGGCTCAATTCCCTGCAACACACATACACATACACACACACACACACACACATACACACACACGTGCACGCGTGCACATACATACACCACAAATTGCCTTGCATACACCCCATAGCATGTTTTTCTTTTTAAATTTTATCGAGAAACAAATAGCAATGAGTTTCAAAACTGATTACTAGGACAGTTTCAATAATTAATACATTGTACATTGTTATCTTCTTAGTGGTTATCCATACTACAAGAAGCAGACAGGATAACCTGTTTAAACACTACTAGTACACCTTCTTCTTCTCATTGAATTAAGCGAAAGTAGCTGTATGTCTATCCTAACTATTCTGTATATACAAATACAAAATGTCCTTCCTTTGTATCCCCTTTTTTTGTTTCGTCCTGTCAGAGATGGGATTTCCATTGGCATCTAAATACTATAGGTGTGTGAATTCAGCAAAACAATCCAACGCAGTCCAGCAGTCCACAATAGTAGTGGGTTATCCGCAGAAGTTGTTGACTTGAGCCTTTCACAGCTCAGCTTATCAATTAAAGTGTGCTTGTGTTTTAGCTTTAGGGAAGGTTTTTTTTTTTTTCGTTTCGGAACTGGGGATTGAACTCAGGCCCTTGCGCTTGCCAGGCAAGCACTTATTCTATTGAGCTATCTCCCTGGCCCCCCATAACATGTTTTTATCAACTCACCTTTATAGAGCTTTCTGTAGTTTCCATAGGAACAACAACTCTTTTCTGACCCATACTTCAGTACTTAACAAAATATTAAATTGAATTCTATAATTTAAAACATGATGCAATATGCCTTAGATGGTTTACAAATGGCCTGTCTCTTGGTGAGCACACAATTTAACTAGCGGGAGCAAAAGATGTTTGGATCATGTACAGAATTGCTTGATATTAGCAAGCTTTGCTTGAGTTGTGGCCATTAGTCAATATATTTTGTGGTAAGAACGGGAACAGTCACTAAAAGAGCTCGTAACTCACTGGAGCTGGAGCCCAAAGAGTTCTGGAAGAGGAAATGAGGCAAATGGAGCTGGAAAGGTCAGATCATGCAAATTCTTGGGGCAACATTAATTATTCTAGAATACAAAAAACAATGGAGCATTTAGGGTGGGGAAGTGACATGGTCCAACTTCAGTGTAATGTCAGTCTGGCTTTATTTTTTTTATTAGTGCACTTTTGATATACATAATGATCACATTCATTTTAGGGAATTTGTGCTGTGCAAATTTCCCCATTCCCCTCCCCTCCCTCCAGCTCGTTTTCTCCTCTCCATTAACAAAAAGCTTTGTTTCCAGGCTTCCTTTTGTGTCAACTCAGCATCTTAGCCACAAACACCACATTTTATGGTGGCCACATACCTTGCACTTAGTGACTTAATCCACACGAGGGCGCCCAAGATGATGGAGCGTCTATGTATTTCACTTTTTGAAAAAATTATTTATTTATTTTTATGTATTTAGTACAGGATCTACAGGGTCTCACTACACAGCTCAGACTCATAGTGATCCCCTGTTTTCAGCTTCCCAAGCGCTGGGATTACAGGTGCGCGCCACCACGCCCAGTGTCAATCGCAGTCTCAGTGCACCCCCGGGGGCATGGCCAGCGGGGATTGAACCCCTGTCCCTGCATCTGCCTAAGCAGGTACTTTGATCTGCTGAGCTATCTGGCTGGCCTGTGTGTTGTTTATATACTGTGGTGACACATGCAGCGCGGATCTAGGTCAGTTGAGAACCTGAGGTCTGCGTGGGTATGCAGAGGAAACTTGAAATATACTTAACTCAGGTAGCTGCATGGACTGTGACCTGCCTCATATGTCTTAGAGCACAAGAGCTGAGCCTTTCTGGAGCCGGAAATCGAACTGCGATCCTGTGGGCCTGACTGCATTTGCCCAAGCAGCGCTTTAAACAACTGAGCTATCCAGCAAGGCCCTGAGATGGGCCTTTCTGCCCACAGGGAGATGACAGAAGCACATAAAATGGATTGGCGGAGGAACTAAAAATATGACTCCAATACTGTTCTCTGTAGACAGTAGAAAATCTTCCTCTGTAAGAGCAGGATACTAAGTATCTTCTCCCCAGCAGCAGTACTATATTAGAAAGCCCTACATCTGTCCACATTAACCTTCTCTCTCAGCTCTTCTTCCATGTTCACCATGGCATTCCTGACATTTCTAACCCCAGTCTATGTGGAATGATGGAATAAGCAGCTAAGACACAAAAGAAAATTTTAGTCTCAACTTTTCACCAGGATCCCTTGTATCCAAGAATGTGTATCTTTCTACAAAAATATTATGTAGGAACATGGAGCCATGAAACCCTCTTCCAAGGCTGAAGGCTCTAACTCAAAAGAGCTTCCATGGACCCACACAGATAGCAGTGGGACACAGCTGGCTCACAGTGTCTCCCTGTTTTGAGATCCCTGGTATTCTACTAGTTCTACTAGATCGGCCAGGGAAATCCTTGAAGATAGGAAGGGTAGCAAGGCCTCTGATCGCCTCCCCCAGAAGGTCATGCTAGCCTGCTTTCTGCACAGTACTGCCCTTCCCCCACATACAGTACAACCAGCTCAGCTCCGCTGTGACTGCCAGTTCAGCTCTTTCCTCCGCAGACTACAACAGCTTACAGAATTCCATCCAGAAAAGTCTTCAGGCATTGTTCAAGGTCCTGGCCATCCAAAAATCAGGAGACTTACACAAAACAGCATTGGAGTGGGTGGCCATCATGCAAAGCCTAGGTGAGTGCAGGCCTCCAGTTGGGCCTGGGAGTGGGGCCCAAGGTTGAATGACCCAGAGTCAAGGGGGATAGGGGTGGATGAGATCGGATGGGACAAGATCTAAAAGAAAAAACTGGGACTTCTTCCTTCAGGGGTATTTCTTGGCATGAGGTGACTAGGTCTTTATTTACAGTGAAAGTTTTATTTCCCATAATAAGTAGAGTAAGTAGGCTGGCCTGGAGAGGCACCCCGGAGCCGGGGAGCAGGGGGCACTTCCTGCAGAAGCCAGAACCCTGGTATTGCCCTCTAGTATTCCTCTGGCTGCTCACACAGGTGCCCTTCTAGAGGTGTGGATGGCTTTTCAGCAGAAATGGATTTTCCTGAATAAAGTTCTACATGAGATGAAGATCCAGCTTCCTAGTGCTGAGCTGGTAGGGAAGGCTGTGAAGTGGAGTGGGCAAGAGCTCATGCACGGCAGGCCCGGGGTGTGTGTAGGCGGGGGAGACCCACTTCATATCTGCCTTCACTTTGGCTCTTTCCACAGCACGCTCGTTTCAAGGCTTTGGATGATCAGTATCGGATGCTGATGCGCATCTCTGTGGCTGACCCTATGGTTCTGTCACTTATCATGCCCAGTGCCAAGAGAAGCCCTTACTTTCAAGGTCAGCAGCTACAACAGCAGCTGCAAGCAGGCTCGGTGGAGCTGGAGGGCATCATCATGGCTCTGGAGACTGTGCTCTACGGGGTGTGTGCCCACTTCCCTCGCCTCTTCTTCCTCAGTGACAATGAGCTGGTAGCCCTGCTAGCTGCCCCTCTAGAGCCTTGTGAGGCTGAGATGTGGGCACGACGCTGCTTTCCTCCTGTGTGTGCTGTGAGCTTCAAGTCCTGCTCAACCGATGAAAAGAACATGGATGACCAAGAGTCAAGCCCAAGCAGACAGGCGCAGGTGGAGGCACTTGCTGTGCTAGGGGAGGAAGGGGAGGAGGTGAAGCTGCAGGGACCCCTTCTTTTGTACCCAGATCTCCCCAGGTGGCTGGCCTCTCTGGAGAACTGTCTGCACCTGGCACTTGTGTGCATGTTGCGAGACTGTGTGGCAGCCCGTCTTGCAGTGAGACCTTCCGTAAGTGAGACCTTTAAGAAGTTGCCTCAGCAAAGCCAGTCACCCCTACAACTACATGTCCAGCACTGGCTAGATTTAGTCCAAGCCTTCCCATGGCAGTGTATCATGGTAGCAGAGGAGGTGGTGTGGCGGGCTGAGATGGAGGAGGCTCTACTTGAGTTGGGGACCCTGGCCACAACGCCCAGGCATATACACAAGCTCGAGGTTCTGGTGCAATTTGTGCGCACCCAGAGGAGCTCCCAAGGAGGGCAGTCCCTCCTCTCTGTCCGCCAGGCCAGCCTTCTCAGTGCTCTGCTGGTCATGGCTGTGACTCACCGGGACATAGCACAGCTGCTGGAGAAGCACCAGGTCAGTGATCTGACAGACTTCCACTGGGCGCGCCAGCTCAAGTACCACCTGGGTTCACCTCGTGTCATCCCCCAAAGCCCTCTGCAGAGCCTTAAGGCTGTTGTGTCCATGGAACCCTCTCTGCCACCCGCTGCATGCTGGATCGATGTGCTGGGTAGGTCCTTCCTGTATAATTATGAGTACCTGGGTCCCAGACTGGGTCCTCTACCCAGCCTGCTGCTTGAGCGGCCAGCGCTGATTCTATTATTGGCCCTGGAGGAGGTGGCCTGTGGGACCGTGGTGGGCCCTGATGGTGTAGGCAAGGCATGCATAGTGAACAGCCTGGCACGGGCTCTGGGCCACCAGCTGGTGACAATGCCATGCTTGCCTCAGATACAGGCCCGGTGCCTGAGCAACTACCTGCTCGGTGCCCTGCAGGGTGGGGCCTGGTTGTTGTTGGAAGAAGTTCAGCACCTACCTCCTGGCTTACTCTCTGCCCTAGGCCAGCGCTTGGCTGAACTGCGCTGCCTCTGTGCCCCACTGTACCAGAAGGTTTCCCAAAGCGCCAGCACTATAGACCCCACCAAGCCTCAGATCCTTGGCAGTGGCTTGTTTGAGAAACACCATGTGTCAGTACGCCTCGGCTATGGCTGCCTCCTGACACTGCGGGCCCTGAGCCCTGCTCTGCCTGCCAACTTGCATCTGCTTCTGCGGCCCGTGGCACTGGCACTGCCTGACCTGCAGCAAGTGGCAGAGCTGACTCTGCTTGGCGCAGGTGTGCAGGATGCCTCTAGCATGGCCACCCGCCTATGTAAATTCTTCTCCCTAGAGCATGAGCTGGTGTCTGGGCCCCTGCCCTGCCGCTTGCCGCTGCTCAAGCAGATATTGGAAAAGACAGTACAGATGCTAAACATGACTGTGACTCAGGAGAAGGAGGAAGTGAAGTCCCAGGATCCTAGCAACCTAGCCGCCACTCAGGAGGCTGCCTTGCTCCATGCTCTGTTGCACTCCTCACTGTTTAGCAGCCTCGATGCGCTCCGCCTGCACAACCTCCGGGAGCTGCTGTGTGGGATTTTCCCTAGTGCAAGCCAAGTGCTGGCCGAGCCTGTGACCCGCAGGCTGATGAAGTCAGTCATGGTAGAGGAGCTGCAGCAGGTAGATCTGCATCCAAGCCCTGACCTTATGGGGTCCCTGGAGCAGCTCAGTGAGGCCCTCAGCCGGGCCTCAGGCATCGTGCTGCTAGGTCCTGCAGGGAGTGGCAAAACTACTTGTTGGCACAGCTTGTTTAAGATCCAGAATCGGCTGGCAGCCATGGAGAAGACCTCAACCCAGAGATACCAGTCTGTGGAAATTACTCACGTGTACCCCAGTGTGCTTAGCTCCCAGGAGTTCCTGGGGTGGCTAGAGGGCTCCTATTGGCACTGTGGTGTCTTTCCCAGGCTGCTTCGTGCTGTCCCTTTCTGTAGCAGCATGGGCCCACAGGAGCAGACCGAGGAAGACGTGGGGACCCAGAACTGGGTGGTATGTGATGGGGCCGCCAGTGCTGCTTGGCTGGACTCCATCACTTGCCTCCTGAGTGACCCCCCTCAACTTAGCCTCCCCAACGGACAGCAGGTAGCACGACGCTCAGGGACCTTTCTTTTGATGGAGGTGGCAGATGCAACAGGTTTGTCCCCTACGCTGGTGGGCCGCTGTGCCCTAGTCTGGTGCAGTGGGGAGCAGACTTGGCAGAGCACGTTCAGCAGCCTGATGGAAGTCCTGCCCCACGCGTACCGCCTGCCACCCCGTACGGTCACTGAGCTCAGCCATCTGGCTGATGGTCTGGTGCCCGCCACGTTCCGATTCCTCACCCGCAAGGGTGCTAGTTCTCTGCTGCAGGCACACGGGCGCCAGGCTGTCTGCCCGGGAGTGGCTGAGGTGAGCAGCTTCGGCCGCATCTTGCGTGGTCTGCTTGACCTCCATCTTCACCTGGATGAGAAGGAGAAGGCTCCAGGTGGGAAGATGAAGGGGCTGGTTTGAAAGAAATGGGGCTTTGGGGTTGCTGGGGTATGGCTGGAATGGGTTCTTTGGTGGAGCTGCGCCAGGAGACTAAAAGTAAGGAATATGGCCAACCTCTTCTTTTTCCTCCCCTCTGCATTTTCCGCTGGGGCTTCTATCATGGCTGCGCCGACCACCACAGAGGACTCCACTGTCAAGGCTTCCAAAAGCAGCTCTCTGTACTGGTCCAAGGCTGATGGCAACAGTGTGCCAAATAAGGACAGGGAGCACTTGCTTGCTCTCAGCAGCTTTCTTTTTGCCCTGATTTGGGGCTTTGGAGCCCACCTTCCTTCTAGGTATCTGGGAGGATGGGAGGATGGGGAATGTGGGGTGCTGAGATGGAGCAGCCATGGGAGTTATGTGACATCCCCGTGGGGAGATGTTGGTGTGTGTGGGTTTGTTCCACATGGAATTGTAACTAATGCTTTCGTCTGTGTGTCCTCTGGTCAGGTTTTGGCCCTTTTTTGATGCCTTCATAAGGAATTCTGTTGGTTCCCTCTCCAACTATCCTGAGCTACCACCTGCACCTTTGGTGTTTGAGCTACATGTGAGCCCTGAACACGGGACATTGGTCCCCTTCACTGGCCATTATCTGAACAACTACATCAAGGGGACTCTGGGCATCTTCTGCCCTTCTGCTCAGGTGTGAGGAGAGCAGGAGATGGGATGTGAGGCTGTGCTAGGGATGTGTTGAGGCCTAACAGAGACCCGCCTGGTCCCACAGTCAATAGAATATATGGAGTATTCTCCAGATAGAGCTTTAAGTCTCCTACACCCCCATTTTCATCTAGATTACTATCCTACCCCCAAAACTGCCCAGTAAGCCCTGCTCCTGTCCTACAGGCTGAACGGCTCTTGTATGTGGTAGAGCTGCTTCTGTCAAGGGGACAGCCAGTGCTGCTGGCTGGAGAGGAAGCAACGGGAAAGTCAACCTTCGTGGAGGTGCTGGTGGAGCCGAATCACCCTTGCATACACAGCCCCGTCACCCCTGCCTTCCATTCTACCCACTTTCGCCTCCTGCTAAGCAGAGGAGTCCAGGACCAAGCACAAGCCGGCTCATGGTCTGCACGCTACCAGGATCTCAAAGACTCCCTCCTCTTCCTGCTGGAGGATCTGCACTTGGCCTCTTCTGGTGAGGAGCTGGGGAAAGGGAAGGAGGAGCTAGTGTCATCCCATGAGACTATAGGATCCCCAGTCATACACACGACTCCAATATGTGTCCATAAATCAAACTTCAGTGTTTTATTCTTCCTATCTTCTAATTCTACCTATATCTCCTGAGCAACCTTACCCACTCATGGCCTCATCCTCCCTCTCTTTGCTTTGACTGATAAATCTCTGTTCCCCGCAGACTTCTCTTTTAAGCACAGCCCTGCCTGTTCATCCATCTTTCTACTCTCCATCTCTACCACAATGTACCTTCGCCCCTCAGACGGAAGCCCACAGCCACACACTATGTGTGTCCTCTTCACAGTGAGGGTTTTTTGTTTTTCTTTTTTTTACCAGGAATCGAACTCATGATCTTGTACTTGCCAGGCTGGTGCTGTGCTGCTGAACTATAGCCCCAGTCCTTGTGTGTCCTCCTCATAACTGGCACCTTTATCCAACCTGTTATTTAATCCAGAACTGCTACTGATATTTCTTCTTTCACCCAGTCCTAGTCACCTTTGTCATTCAATTCTGCCTCCTAAGGATTTCTTGAATCATTCTGCTGTACTGATTTCATACTTCAGACAAGCATTACCCGGAACTGTGGCAAATGTTCTTGCAGAGCTCCTCAGGATGAGAGTTTCTCCTCCAGCCTCTTATACTCTCTCTGTGCTCTAGCTGGAGTCAAGATGTCAGCTTGGTGACGGCCTCTAGAATTGCTTGCCTCCACCTTCTCTCCTCTGTTTGTCTGGCTAAATCCTGGTATTCCTTCCAAATCATCTAAGCTAGTAGCAGCACCTCCAGGAGGCGTGATCCTCCGAGCTAGGCTGATATCTGGCCTATGCTGTGTACAATCTCTACAACAACGATGTTTTGTGATTGTATGCTTCTCTATGCCATCCACTACACTTTCACCTTCAAGAGAACAGGGATTTATCTCATGCATTTTCATAGACCTAGCAGGAAGTAAGTGCTCAGTTAGAGTCTGTAGAAGAAAATACAGTATAAAAAGGAAAGGAAGAGGGGGCCAGGGAGATGGCTTAGTGGAATAAGCGCTTCCTTGGCAAGCACAAGGGCCTGAGTTCAATCCTCGGTTCCGCCAAAAAGAAAAGGAAAGGAAAAAACTGTGATGACAGTTTAGAATGCTGAAGTTTAAAGATTATAAAAGTGCTTTTACCTGCAGGTAATAACCAATTTTAAGCATAGTACAGGAATAAGTACTAATAAAGTATAAGTAGATGCTGTTGGGGCCAAGAAAGTCAGAGCTAAACCAATGGATGGGTTGACCAGTCAATCACTGAAGTCCTTCATGGCAGTTAGATAACTACAACTAGGTGTATTGAAACTTGAAAGGTAATAAGAGGTACAACTTCTTGAGTCTCATGTGTTATATGCTTTATGTCATTTTTAGTGTTTATAAAAACCTAGTAAGATGGAAACTCTTCACAATTACTTTAAAGATGTGGAAACTGAAACAGAAATATTACATCTTTCCCAGAACACTGTGCCTATCAAGGGTCAGGGTCAAGGTTAAAATTCAAGTAAAAAATAATAATAATAAAGTCCATTTGGTTCCACTGCCTATAATTCTTCCCACCTGTTATTTGACCTTTGCAATGAATTTACATAAGTAATTAGGATGTCAGTGGACAACAAGACGGGTAAAAGATGACACAGAGAGGTTTGGAAGAGGTTTCACTTGAGAAAAGATTTAAATAGAAGTGTCAAAAATATTAAGTGCAGGGCTGGTGAGATGGCTCAGTGGTCTAAAGCATCTACTTAGAACAAGCTCAGCTAAAGCACAGGGACCGCGGTTCAATCCCCCAGCACCACATGCCAGCCAGCCCCGCCCCCTGGTGGGCTGAGCTGGCCACACACACACACACACACACATAAATAAAATGAAAAAAAAAATGAAAAAAAAAATATTAAGTGCAGGGGGCCCATTAGCTCAGGTGTTTAAGTGTCTGCTAAAACAAAGCAGTCAGGCTCAGGATGCAGTGGTTCGATCCCCTCATCCTCAAGCCAAAGCAGACCTGCCCTGAAGACATCCTGAGGGGGGGGAGGGGAGAATATATATATATATCAACATTATAGACTGAAGAATATTGTACCTGGAAAAATGATAGCTATCTTTAGGTGACAAACACCAGAACAATCATATAACATTTAAAGAATGAATACATGTTTAAAAACAGCCAAAAACCAGAAAAATGCAGCCCACTATTAAGAAGAAACAACCCATGGGAACTGACCCTGAAATGTTGTACAGGTTGGCATTAGCAGACAAATACTTTAAAGCAGCTGTTATAAAGCCACTGGTATTCAGACACTTAAAGGAAAATAAGATCTTAATGACTGAAGAGACAGGAAATCAGAGCAGTGAAATTGAAGCCCCTGACAATAACTAAATGGAAATCATAGAACTAGAAAGTACAATAACAAGCGAAAAATTCACTGAATGGGATTAACAAAAAATTGGAGATGGTAGAAGTCAGTGACCCCTCAAGAATGTTAGGGATGTTACCAGCTATAGAAAAGTCACTAAATATGAATGAAACTTCATTCTAATGCATATGTAATTGGAGTCGCAGAGGAGAGAAGACAGCAAGATGTTTAAGGGAATGATGACCAACATTTCCCCAAATCTTGTTTAAAATGCTGACTTTCATATAAAAAAATCCCCCAAGTTACCCTAAAGCAGAATATTAAAAGAAAGCCATGAGAAAGCACATGATAGTCAAACACAAGAAAGAGGAGGGGGAGGAGGAAGGGGGGGATGAGGGTGGAGGAAGAGGGAGAGGAGGGGAGGAGG